ACGTGGCGTTGGAATTTTCGGTGTGTGAGACACTTCCCATACGTGGCGTTGGAATTTCCGGCGTATGGGAAGAATATGCGATTATTAAGTCTCACATGTGGCGTTGAAATTTCCAGCGTGTGAGACACTTCCCATACGTGGCGTTGGAATTTTCGGCGTATGAGAAGATTATGTGGTTATTAGTCTCACACATGGCGTTGGAATTTCTAGTGTGTGAGACACTTTCCATACGTGGCGTTGGAATTTCCGGCGTGTGAGACACTTCCCATACGTGGCGTTGGAATTTCCAGCGTATAGGAAGATTATGTGATTATTAGGTCTCACATGTGGCGTTGGAATATTCCGGCGTATGAGACCCTGTGATTTGTTATGGATTTTCACACGTGGCGTTGGAGAATTCCGGCGTGTGGTAAAAGAACAAGGAGAGAAAAAAGGGATTATTTTACTATATCGGGGAAAGATTGATGCTTAAAAAGAATAATGTCTGTTGTGTTGTGATTTAAGGCAAAGGGAAAGGAATAATTCTAGAATTTACTATTTTGTATTATTGTCATGGATTGTATGTTATTGATTTTTGTAGTAAGAACTACGTGTGGCTTGATCTCTCACAAGGGATATGTTGGTAGCCTAGGGCTTTACCTAGGTGTAGCCGCTGACAAAATTTACTTATGATTGTTTTATTGAGTTTGGTTCTGACCTTGTCGTTGTTCTGAAACTCGGTCGAAACCGAGATATGATCAAATAATTGTTCATACTCCCATTTGACTAAGAGAGGGTTGGATTAGTGTGTCATGATCAAAGTAGGGGTAAAACCCGTTTGGATTGTTATAAGATTTGGGCAGAGGCCTTAAACTACTTGTGCAGATATTAGGATGTTAAACGTCACAGGATGGAAATCAAGAAGTTATATTAAATGGACTACAATGAGCATGCATAATTAGTTTGAATTCACTAATTGCATTGTTTAATTTCCTTGTTTGATTTAAAAGCATTGCTAGTGTTTCTACTTCGAATTGTTTGAAGGCCGGAGGCCTATATGTAGATTGTATGATGTATATGATGCATGTTGCCAGTTATGGATATTAAATTGTGATTTTAACAAGTTGAAAATTTTGGGAAATGTTCAATTTACAGGGGAGACTCTGCCGAAACTTTGGTAGAAAGTCTTGTCCTCTTTTTCCTCAATTTTGGAAAATAGGATTTAGTTCAAAAGTGAGCCCGGCATTAGTGTGATGTCGGGAATTCCACAGGATTCATCCCGGGTTTCGAGGAATTCGGGGTGGGTCCTGTCACACATATATATATATTGATTGGAATATTTGTGAAGTATGTATTATTCATGGAATATGATAACTTCAATCTTGGGGTATCCGAGGGATAGATGTACCACACAGGGACATAGGGTAGTAAGGCCAATAGAGGTCACGTGGTTGGTTACATTCTATGAAGGATAATCAAGTGTAGGGGCTTTTTTTCTTCTGGCAGCTACAAATGGGCTGGGCTGCTATAAGAAGCAAACTGAAGAAAATATCCCCTATGTCTAAGTTCAAAAATCAGACCCCAAATGTTTCGAGAGGATAGCAAAGCCTTAGGAAACACCTTGGTTACCTTCACCAACAGAAAATAATGGCTGCTTACAGATAAATTCTCAATGCTTACAGATAAGATCTTAGCTTGGCATGAGAAGTTTGTGGTATGGGAGCAAAATTGCCATGAGTTTAGCACTAAAGAGAAAATTAAAATGTTCCTAGGGGAAAGATAGGGTATTAAGGTAGGTTTTGCAGAGAGGTTTGGTTGAGAATGAGGACAAGAAAGAAGAAGACAGCTTCAACACTTCTTCCGGCAGCTTGACAGAATTTCTGTCAAGTGTTAGAATAGCCTGTCAAGAAGGAAACTAAAGAAGAAGGAGATGAACTAAACACGAAAATTGTTGGTTTTGAAAGTAAGAAAGGAAGCTTGCTCTCTGGTTGTGGATGATTTTCGTTGGGTAGAAGAGGCCCCATTTTATAGCCACTAGAAACTATCCTTTCCCAAGAAACCCTAATGGTTTCTACCCAATTGGCTAAGCTCTTCCCTTCCTTTCTCATTTCCTCCCTTGACTTTTCCTATCTTGGTGAAATTTCTTCTATCTATTTGCACAAAATCAGGAATTTTAGGAGCTCAAGGCCCTCTTTCCTGTAGCTGTTCAGTGGGAGACTCCATTCTTAGCTATTTCTTCTTCTTCTTTCCTTCCTCCTTCCTTGACCAGATCTGCTGAAGGAAAACAAATAGGTGCACACACTGGTTTGAAGGGTGTTTCTCCTCCTAGCAGCTTACATGCTAATATCCCTTGGGTCTTTGCATGTTTTTTGCTTTGAAACTTGTTTCGTCCTTCCCATCAACTCACGTGGTCTTCTAAGCTCCTTCCATGGCTTTGTCTTTCAGCCAAATGTTGGAGCCCTTGCTGCCTCTCACTTCTAATTGTATGGGCCTCGTAAAATGACTTTTTCAACCTACTAAACGAATGGGCCACCCTTATCAAATATTGGGCTATTGGGGTTAGCTTTGATGGGCCATTTTGACTGGGCTTTTTGGTTGGGTTATTTAGGTAGGGCTATTTAGGTTATTTTCCCTTTTGTGCTCACCCATATATTTGGGCCTAAGAAATGGGCTTAGGCTCCGAGGCTCCCAAGCAACCCGGAACCTCTATTTCTAGGCTCATCAATGGGCCTCATGACAACCTATTACCATCCATACCACAACCCACTCAAGTAAGCCCCGGGCATTTGAGTGGCTTGGGCCCACTTTAGGCTTGTAGTGTGGTTGGGGCGTGACATAGCAATTTCTTGCTTGGCATAGCATGTTGCTTGGCATGCTTTTTTAATTATGATGCTTGATGGATTTGTAGAGATACATATTTTTTATGATCTTAATCTCGATTCCTAGCATGACAAAATTTATTTATTTGGCATGGCATGTGGAGCGTGACTTGTGCGTGGCAGATTTTATATGCTCCAAATTGGGCCTTTCCCGAATAATGTATCATTTTGGGTCATGAATTTATTCGGGCCCAACCGTGGATTTTTTGGGTCTCAACACCGAGATATGAAGGGATGATGTGATATGATCTGGATTGGTGTATCTTTTCATAATATTTTCTAGAGTGTGTAAAACGGTATTGCTGACTGACATATTTTATAATCTACTCATTGAGAGGCGGTTGCTCATCCATCACCCTATTTAATTTTTTAGATGAATTAGTGGATAAGACAAGGACTAAATCGGTTGAGGCTGATTTAGATGAGACTTATAGAGATTTATTTATTTATTGTAAATAAATAAAGGTCCACTTCAAATTATTCCCATTGGACCAAGTCCAGTTGATATTTTTCTCAATATCTTCCAAGTTTTTGTTATAGCATTTGTTCTTATCCTCGTCGTTACGTTTGTATGTCAAAAGCTTAGGGAGAGACAAGTCAGCAATTGCGTGATTTATAAGCGCTTATCATAAGTGTTGAATTATAAGCTCTTAAGCTGACTTAATAGTTAGTTAAAATAGTTTTTGTTTCTTTAATTTTATAAGCCAAGTGTAAAGATCCTATTGGATACCTAAATGAATGGCTGAGATCACCTTGTGATGTAAGGGATCCAGCTACTGTGCCTAACGAATATATTCCTCACTCCAAGTGCGTGAGGTAGAGACTGAATTAGTATGAACATTCCTCTACTACACGTATAGCAGAGCAGTTTTCCCATTCTTTGATTTTCTCTCTTCTTCTATCCTTCATCATCCTCAGTTCACACACTAAAAAACACTAAGATGGCCTCAGAGCCAGGTTCGATCATCTAAATCTGGGTGTTCAAATTGTGAAGGAAAACGATCGGGGTATTTTGAAGCTCGTTCAAGGCTCACGAAGCTATTTGAGCTCGATTACTTTTAAATATGAAAACAACTTGTTTTTAGGTACATCTGATACCATAAATGGCTGGATCTGGAAGCTCAGACGTGAGAACTTCAATTTTCTCTTGTGAAAACTATGAGTTCTAGAGGATTAAGATGGAGATCATATTCAAATCATATGGGCTATAGAATTTGGTAGATAAGGGGATTCCAATCTCTGATTCGAAGAAGAAGAAGAAGAATGCATCCGAGGAAACCTCAGAAGAAGAAGAAAAAGATGAGAAGATAGCTTCAATTCTCATGAAAGATGCAAAAGCTCTGGGTATCATACAAAATGTAGTCTCCAATCAAATTTTCCCACGCATCGCCAATGCAGATTCTGTTTAAGTAGGATGGGAGCTGTTATATGAAGAATACCATGGTGGAGATCATGTTAGTTCGGTAAAACTCCAAAATCTCATACGCAAATTTGAATGTACAAGAATGCATGATAATGGGTCCTTGTCTGCTTAGCTTATTAGATTTAATGATCTGGTTAATCAAATGAAAACATTTGGTGAAATTCTCTCTAATGAGAGGCTCGTTTAAAAAGTTTTGATTAGTCTTAGAAAGATATATGATCCTATCTGTTTGGTGATTGAGAACACTAAAAGTCTAAGGACTGTAGAATTACAAGAAGTAATTGCTATTCTGAATAGTCAAGAGCAACGATTTGAATTGCACAATGTTGATACAAGAGTGAAGACGAATAGTCAGTCGCACAAATGGGATATGGCATGTTTTGTAAATTTGAAACTAAAGATTGAAATTTGAAAATAACATAATGGCATCTGTTGTAATTTTAGTGTTCTTTAATTATATTTTGGTAAAAGCAGGTACTATATTTTGGCTTTTGGCTTTATCCTAATTAGCTGAAATTGAGTTCCTATTTACCTAAATAGTAAACTACATTGTATGTGAAAACTAAAGCTCCCTATTTTTTTTCCTGTTTATTTGAATAAAAATACATAGCAAAATTGAGGACATATCGTGCAAGAGAGACAACCTAGTATCCTTTTTCTTTTTGAAATGGACAACCTAGTACATTTATCAGAAGTGACTGGATTATCGTTAATCTTAGATGGATGGTATACGTGGGAGTGATTTTCGTCCCTTGGAATATTCGATCAATAGATTCCCTTTTCTCCTTCCTCAAACTCATTGGTACGAAGCTCTCACAGGGAGAGAACCGGGTAGCTGGAGCCGTGTGTGGTGGCCAGAGCCTTGTGTAAGAGAGAGAGGGAGATGGCGGCAAGGAGGGGAATTTCTGCAGTAGTTTGAGAGCTTAGAATGACTTACCTTATGCCTTGCATAGCCTCGTATTTATAGAGCCTCATAGGGCGTACGAGTCTGGCGTTTCTCCTTCGTTTCAGGGGACAAACGGATTGACAGCTTTGCATGCCGCAGTGACTCAAGAACATCTCAAAGACAAAGGTACGTGAACATGGCATCACCTGATGAAATGTGTTGATTTTATATTACGAGGATTTTATTTTGGTGGAAATTTTCACTACCTCTCACCTCTTTAGTTTTTCCTATATCAACATGGTAGGCGTTGTCGAGATTCTGGTGTCCAAAAACTGTGACCTAACAAAGAAGTTGATGCTATTGGATGGACTCCCTTGCACTACGCAACATTCACAGGGAACGTTGAAGCTACTCAACTACTGATGGAATCTGATAGTTCTGCTGCTTATATCCTGGACTTATCAAAAATGTCAGCTCTCCATGTTGCAGCTTATGCAGGCCACACCGAAGTGATGAAAGAGTTAATTCGATATCAACCTGATACTTGCGATTTGCTTAATTCAAAAGGCCAAACTGCTCTTCATTCTGCAGTTTTAGGTGGACAAAGACATGTGGTTGAGTACATATTAAAGACGCCTAACCTTTCGGGACTTATTAATGAAGTTGATGAAGACGGAAACACTCCTTTGCATATTGCGGTTATCTACAAAAAATTTGAAGTTATCACCATTTTGACGGCCGACGTTAGAGTGGACACTACTGCTGTCAATAGAAAATTGTCAAAAGCCATTGATATTTTTCTTGGACAAAATATTGAAGAACAGGTACGCAAAGTGCACACACAAATTCGAGACAAATAAAAACAACTCCTTCTAGGAAGTTTTCATCATCTCCCACATTTTTTTTCGATTAACGAGGGATGTGAAGACACTTGGATATGTAAGTTGTTGGTGCGTCCTATCCTATAACTAACTGAAATTGATCTATTGTGTTTTATTACCCAGTGCAGTTAGGTTAGAAAGCATATTAATTCGTTTTGACATCTTCTGTGTACTGGATACAGTACTCTCTCCCCCCATGTTTTAGGATAAAGTATTAACACTCCGTTTTTGCAACACTTGGGGTCCTCCGTGGGTGGTCCATTTTTCCAACAAAAAATCAGAGATGAATTCAACAGACTGGAACCATCAGAGAAGGATACGCCCGGCACACCAGCCATTGAACACACCAAGAGGCAAAACCGGCAAGCTACTTCAAATCAGACCTTGAAAAGACATGATACCAAACTAGTGGTGACGACACTTATCGCAACCGTCACTTTTGCAGCCGCATTAACCCCTCCTGGAGGATTTAAAACCGACGGCACGCCGGTTTTGTTCAATAATTCATCTTTCAGAGTTTTTATGATTTTCAACATGTTATCCTTCATACTCGCAATTCTTGCAATTTATAATGAATGAACTCCAATACGTTTCTTGTCCATCAAAATACCCACACCTGCAAGTCTCATTTGGTATTCCATCGGAGGGTTTGCTGGTAGCATTTTTTCGGGCAGGCTTGCAATGGTGCCAAAAAGCCAGATAAAGAGAGTTTCGTTTAAACATTTTCCCTTTATACGTACAACTCTACTCGATGCTTTTCTCGGTGTAGTATTTGAATTGGTGCTGGTAATTGCTTTCATAATCCCTGTGTTTATGACTATACTTCGAAAATTAAGGGAGAAATACCGGGCCCAGACGTATATTGAATTAGGATTATATATGATTTTGAAACATTTAAGTGACAGATTTCCTAGAATTGTATAACGCCTATAGATTTTACACGGATTTTTAATAAACTTGTATAGAATTTTATTATAGACTTCCATACTTTTGTATGAACTTTTGTTATAGATTCAGATATATTTGCATAGACTTTAGTCATTCTTTTTTCCCAACACTATTCTCTGTATATGAGGATGCATAGGGATCAAAGTTTGTCTTTGCCCAACTGTGCTTAATCATGAAAAAGGAAAAGCACTTCAATGCTGACCTCTACATAGAAAAGGTGGAGGTTTTATTTTAGCCAACCCCAAGACATGGACTTTACAATTAAGTATTAAGTATTAAGTTTAGTGAAGTTTTAAGTTTACAATTAAGTCCATACACAATATGAGTCCGTACACAGAAACGAGCCAACGACTTGAGCATTTAAAGAAGTCTACAAAAATAAGTCTACTAAATACTATTTGTTTATTGTACCGCGTGTGGTGTAAGTAATAAAAAGATAATTCAGTCTTCAAAAACCATTTTAAAGCATTTAAAGATTTTTTAAACCAACGGAGGAGATGAGATTAGGAGCTAGTTGCCAACTTGCCAATTTGGAAAGAGAATCAAACCATACCAAAAGCTAGTTGCCATTTGAACACTTGTCCATCTTTGACTCCTTATTTGTACACACATAGCAAATGAAGCTCGAAAATTGAAAATTGAGGGAGAAACAACCGGCCAAGCTGTCAATCGTGTAACTTATATGTCTTTTTGGTTTTTTTGTTTTTGTTATCTGATTAGTTTTAATAAGTGTTTCTTATTAATTCTTGCATAATCAAAAAATGAAAATATCTCATTAACTGTTTTCTCTTATAACTTTCTCTCGCAACATTTTTAACAATAAGTAATTTTCTTGAATATACACTCAATTTCTCACGACTCCTTGAACGTTTTTAGCAGCACATGGTGGCTGCGCGCTTGAGCCCATGTACTTGCTCTCGTGAGGGTCTTTATTTATTCAAATGAATGCATTGAAGTATCATCATCCCTACTTAGACATAGGGGCGGCCTGGGGTATTAAACAGTAAGTATATATAAATATTGACTGCAGGGAACAAAGACAAAACATATAGCAACAACTAAATATATAATATGTACCTTAAAAGCCAAAACTAAGGGCGTGATCGACGAGAACCTTTATTGACTAATCCACGGCGCCAAAAGGGACTTTGCTTGTGACAGGTAATTAGCACTAAGCCTGTTCAGAATTATTTATGCCTCGAATGCTAAGCACGGTTCACAACACAATCCTCTTCAAGGCATTGCTGCTTCTGTGCTACATTAAGCAAGTTTCAGAGAGTTCAAAGCCATGGATCGTTTGGTATATGAGGCGGCAACATCCGGCGATGTGGGTTTGTTCAGAAGGATTAAAGATGGTTATGAATTACCAGATGTTCTTTATAAGAAAACACCCAAAGACAACAATGTTCTTCACATTGCAGCTGAATTCAAGCAAATAAAATTCTTCAATGACATCCCACTTGAATATGGATCTTCACTGTTTTGGGCGACCAACAAGAAGGGTGACACTCCACTGCACGTTGCTGCCAAAGTAGGATGTGTTGAAGTAGTTGAGTTCCTCATTGAACATGCAAGGATAACGCCTCATCACATGGAAAGAGGTGACGAGGAGAGCGGACCAGCTGATGGTGAATCTCAAAACAAGTTACTCCAAGTGAAAAACTCGGATAACGACACAACATTGCATCTTGCTGTTCGATACAATCACGATGAAGTTGTGATTCGGTTAATGGAAGCCGATCCTCAATTGTGTTGTTTCACTAATAACGCAAATGAGTCGCCCTTGTTCCTAGCTGTTAGAAAAGGCACTCCAAGCATTGTTCATAGTATTCTAAAGGCGTACGAGTCTGGCGTTTCTCCTTCTTTCTGGGGGACTAATGGAGTGACAGCTTTGCATGCTGCAGTGACTCAAGAACAACTGAAAGGCAAAGGTACATGAACATGACATCACATGATGAAATGTGTTGATTTTATAATTTTATTTCGGTAGAAATTTTCGCTACTTCTCACCTCTTTAGCTTTTCCTATGTCAACATGGTAGGCGTTGTCGAGATTATGGTGTCCAAAAACCGTGACCTAATCAAAGAAGTTGATGCTATTGGATGGACTGCCTTGCACTACGCAGCATTCACAGGCAACGTTGAAGCTACTCAACTACTGATGGAATCTGATAGTTCTGCTTCTTATATCATGGACTTATCATCAAAAATGTCAGCTCTCCATGTTGCAGCCTATGCAGGCCACACCAAAGTGATGGAAGAGTTAATTCGATATCAACCTGATACTTGCGATTTGCTTAATTCAAAAGTCAAACGGTTCTTCATTCTGCAATTTTAGGTGGACAAGGCAAGGTGGTTAAGTACATATTAAGGACGCCTAAACTTACGGGACTTATTAATGAAGCTGATGAAGACGGAAACACTCCTTTGCATATCTCTGTTAAGTACAAGAAAGTTGAAATTATCTCCATTTTGACGGCCGACCATAGAGTGGACAAGGATGCGGTCAATAAAAAGTTCTCAAAAGCCATTGATATTTTTCTTGGTCAAAATAGTGAAGAACAGGTACGCAATACAGGTGCACACACACATAAAAATTTATATAAGAAGTAAACAGTGTTTTTTTTTGGTTACTTTGGTCAGAAGTAGAGCTCATGAGTATTTTGATCCTTGCATATAAAGGGTCTAATTTGCACCAAAATAAAGTTTAAGAATCGCTAACAAAGCAAAGCATAAGGATGCTCTAATCACGTTTTAAGGAGTCAGAAACTTGTATTTAGTCTGAAATGGTTTGAATCTGGATCAACTTCAGACAAATTAAAAAAACTCAGTTTCGCCTGATCTCCCACTTTGTTTTTTGTTGGATTAATTGGGGAGGTGAAAATTGCAACTTTTCCAAATCTTGAGAAGGATAAATATCACTGTATCAAAAGTTATTTGGTTTTTTCTTTCAAGTTCTAGATCTTAGACAGCCGAGTGTGTGTACAATATTAACTGACCACCTCTCTTATACAAATGCAGTAAATAAACATAGTACAAATAATGTTATTGGAATTGAAATTGATCTATTATTTTTCTTTTTCCTGTTTTGAAAAGGATCTATTAATATCTTTGACAAGTTTACTCTATCTCTCTCTGTGTATTGTTTAGGGAAGTATTGACAGTCCGGTTTTGCATCAGTTGGGGTCCTGCGTAGGTGGTCCATTTTTCCAACAAAAAATCAGCCATGATTTCAACAAACCAGAAACTTCAGAGAAGGATACGCCCGGCACATCGGCCATTGAACACAAGAGGCGAAGCCCGCAATCTACTTCCAATCAGGCCTTGAAAAGACGAGATACCAAACTAGTGGTGACGACGCTTATCGCAACCGTCACTTTTGCAGCAGCTTTAACCCCTCCGGGTGGATTTAAAAGCGACGGAAAGTCAGTTCTATCGGATGACACATTTTTCAAAGTATTCCAGCTTTTCAACCAGTTAAGCTTTATGCTCGCAATTATTGCAATCTATAACGAATCAAATCCAATACGTATCTCGTCAATCGAAATAGCCACACCTGAAAGTCTCATTCGGTATTCCATCGGAGGGTTGCTGGTAGCATTTTTCACGGCCACATTGGCAGTGACGCCCACACGCCGCAGAATGCTTTCAATTAGAACAAAACCCTTTACAGGTGAACCTCCTTTGGATATTGTTCTCAATGTAATTGGTGGGTTTGGGGTGACACTTGTTTCGATGCACGTGCTTTGGACTATGCATCGAAAATTGAGGGGGAAACAACCGGCAGGGCTGTCAACCGTGTAACTTATAAGTCTTTTTGGTTTTTGTGTTTTTGTTTTCTGATTAGTTTTATTAAGGGCTAGTTTGGCATTACTGTGCTGTGAAAATAATCTCTGTCAGATTTGTTGTGAGAGAAATCAGCTGTGAGAGAAAACAGTTTGGCGTTTGGTAAAATTTTTGTTAAAGTGTTGTTGGTATTGATTTTATTCATAATCAAAAAATAATTGCCGCATAATCATTAAACCCAGCGCCTCTTCGAAACTGATTCCAGCATAATCAGAAAATGAAAGCACCTCATTAGCTGATTTCTCTTATAGCTTTCTCTCACAACAATTTTTAACAATAAGTGATTTTCTCACAGTTTACCAAACGGGTTGGGCTTCTCAATTTTTTTTTAAAAAATCACTTATCACCCTAAATAAGCAATGTCAAACTGACACTAAGTGTTTCTTATTAGTTTCTGATCACTAGCCTCTCCGCACGCACTTCTATGCCTGCAAGAAGCTTTTATGTTTATTTTTATAATTTTTAAATTTGAATTAAAAAAGATATCCGCATAGTTGTGTTCCTTAAAAATAGGATCCATTATATGATTTTTTTTTAAAATTTAAATTTAATTTTTTTAAATATGAAAAAGTATGAATTTACCATATTATCCTCATTTAATTAATAATTTCAATTCATAATGTTTGCATTAATCAAAGGAATTTTCTGGCATTTTGAATGTTTCATCATTCTACACCTTTTGATTTATATATATATATATATATAAAAGTTATGTGAACTTTTATTTATTGTGCTTTTCTAGTTTTACATTTCTTTACCCTCCGTTTAGATGAATGAATTGAAAATTACATAGAATTCTAAAAGGACAGAATTTAGATTTCCATCATTTCAATAATTGTTAATTGATGATTTCACTATTTGGAGTTATGTATGTCGAATTTTGTAAATGACACTATGGAAATTGTGAAATGACACATATTTTGGTGGAAATTAAACTCAAGAATTTGATGCCTGCGGAGAAGTTGGAGGTGTCACTCTGCAAAGTGACGATTTGTGTGGCAGTTTTGGAGCCTCCTGACACCAAGGATTGATTGGTGTTTGCTAACCCATCATCGTTGGCCATGATATTGGCTTACAAGTGATGATAGAAAAAAGAGGCAAAAAGAAAACTGTAAACGTTACTCTGGGTAACTTATGAGAAAAGGACACAAAAATATTGGGTCGAAGGAAAAAGGTGATTTGAGTTGGTTTGTGAGATTTGAATATTTGTTGAATGCCGTGACAAACTAGTTTGACAGACTGGTGCTGGGTTGTGAGATGAAATACAGGCTGGTTTGACAAATTGATTTGACGAAGGAGGACAATAAGACAAACTGATGGAATATAGATGGAATTTAGGCTGGTTTGCAATAAGAAATAGAGGTTTTGGGAAAAAGAAGGCAAGGGAACGATTGAGTGATTTTCTGGTGCTGGGTTTGTTGACGGATGCTGTTGCGCAAGCGATTGCTAGGGTTAGGTCAAGAGACAGTCATGATCGACTGCTCTGGTACCATATCAAATTGGGTAAAAAATAATATTTCATTCATATTGATATATAACAATAGGAAGGTTATATATATAGAGCCTAGGAAACTATTCTAGGAAAGTAATTATGTTCCTATAATCTTGCAGAATCAAATAATTGACTTAGACTAATTAGAAATGTACAGCTCATTGACAGTACGCATGCAATGGATTCTATGTTCAAGCGGGAAACCATACAAAACAAAGAAGCAAAAATGGACAAAAAGCAAAAGGAGAGAGAAAAATTTTAAAAGAAGCAAAAATGGACAAAAATGCCCTTATTTATTTTTAGATTTCCTAAGGAATCCAATACATTTGCATGTCTTTGATTTGAAAGTTGAGCGGTTTTTTTGTCTTTTTTGAAAAAGCTTTGGCTTTTTCCAAAAGTGAAAATTTTTTTATGTCTAAAACCTAAAAAACCTTAGATAAAATGGCCCTATCCATCTAATGATTAATGAATTAAAAATTGATATATTGATTTTTGAGAGTAACATTAAGGAGACCATATTATTATAATTAATACCCAATGGCAAGAAGAGTGGCCAAATTCTTCCATTACTCATCTGCCTGTCATGGGCTCTGACCATTGTCCCATTCTTGTGGAGACAGAATCTCGAATAAGAAGAGGTTGTAAGCCTTTTAAGTTTGAGGCTTCTTGGACTTCTGATCCGGAGTGTAGAGAAGTGATTGACAGAAGCTGGCGTAGGAAATTTCATGGAACTAGAATGCATGTGTGGGGAAGGAAAATTAAGGGGTGTCGTGTGGATTTGCAAAAGTGGAGTGATGGGAAATTCTTAAATAATCGAAAAATTGCAAATTCCTTGTTGGTAGAGCTTGATCAACTTCAGCTGAATTGGGATGCAAACTATGGGAAAATTGGGCAAGTAAGGAACAAGCTCAATGATGTTTGGAGGCATGAGGAATTGTATTGGAAGCAGAGGGCGAAAACCAAGTGGCTCAAAGAAGGAGATGAAAATACAACCTTTTTCCACAATAGTACGGTTCATAAAAAGAGGAGAAATCAGATTGCCCGGATAAAAAAACCAAAATGGAGACTGGGAGTGTAACAATGCTTAGGTTCGTAACACTAACTTCCAAAATTTGTTTACTTCTGAAGGTCAAAGAGAGTGGGGTGATATCTTATCATTTGTCTCTCCAATCATCACAAAGGATATTAATTCAAGCTTGAAGGCCCCAATAAATTATGAGGACATTAGACATGTTGTTTTTCAAATGGGGTCCTAAAATCCCCAGGGCCTGATGGTTTCTCCAGTATCTTTTACCAAAAGTATTGGAGCATTATTGGGGAGGATATGTGTGGGCTGGTTAAAAGATTTTTCTCAGAGAACAAAAATATTTCTGTTATGAATGTAACAGAGATTGCTCTTGTTCCAAAGGTTCTGAGCCCAAAGTTGGTTAGGGTAATCTCGAAGATTCTCGCTAATCACCTTCAGCCCTACTTAAATGCAATCATTTCTCCCCAACAATGTGCATTTATTCCTGGAAGGCAAGTTCAAGATAATATTTTTATTGCACATAAGGCCTTTCACTCTCTGAAGATTAGAAGAGCTATTAGCATTTTTGAAATGGGGCTGAAGCTAGATATGAATAAAGCTTACGATAGAATCGAGTGGGATTTCCTCCAGGCAGTGTTGTTGAAAATGGGTTTTGAAGAGACTTGGGTGCAAAAGGTGATGAACTGTGTTTCTTTAGTGGAGTTCTATGTGATAATCAATGGAAAGACAGAGGGTGGTTTCAAGCCGTCAAGGGGAATTCGCCAAGGGGACCCTATATCTCCATATCTATTCATAATTGTCAATGATGTCTTATCTTCTATGCTTAACCACGCAGCAGCGAGAGGCTTCTGAAAATATCTATAGGATGGCTTAAAACACTAAAAGAGTGAAAGAGTAAAGTCTGCGTTTTGAGTAGTGAAGAGTAATACAATAATATATAAAACCACGCCAAAGGGATTGATAAGATGTATCAATCCTCTACAGTACAGAACGTAAAAACAGATAAAAACACAGAAGTTATTTTACGTGGTAAAACCCCACCTCTATGGAAAATCCACGGGACCTGACAGTCCAAGGCAAATCCACTATAGAAAGATGATTACAAGAAGTACTCACACACTTATCCTAGACACATTCTAGATAATGTTTACCGACTTCTTTGTAACTCAGCTTTTGTCACGGGATGATCTTCAACATTCCTTATATTGAACGCAATACTGACCACGATTGCTTCAAGCTCGCCAGAGGAAAACCGTCACCACGGTCTTGGTGCCCTCAACCACATGAGTCATCGATCAATGCAAATGAATGCAATATGAATGGTTAAAGTGTTTGATAAATCACCAAGTAAACATGGAACACTTGATGATTTATCTCAAATATATGCACAGCAACTTTCTTAGGAATTTTAGATGCTCAAACAAACTATATGAAAATTGTTCCAAACAAAGAAGCACAACATCTTCTTATACAAACCACAATCTCCTTTTTGCAACATCTTCTGATACTTGCGATTTGCTTAATTCAAAAGGTCAAACGGTTCTTCATTCTGCAATTTTAGGTGGACAAAGCAAGGTGGTTAAGTACATATTAAGGACGCCTAAACTTGCGGGACTTATTAATGAAGCTGATGAAGACGGAAACACTCCTTTGCATGTCGCTGTTATTAACAAGAAAGTAGAAATTATCTCCATTTTGACGGCCGACCATAGAGTGGACAAGGCTGCTGTCAATAAAAAGTTCTCAAAAGCCATTGATATTTTTCTTGGTCAAAATAGTGACGAACAAGTACGCAATACAGGTGCACACACACATAAAAATTTATATAAGAAATAAACAGTGGTTTTTTTTTGGGTTACTTTGGTCAGAAGTATAGCTCAGTATTTTGATCCTTGCATATAAAGGGACTAATTTGCACCAAAATCAAGTTTAAGAATCACTAACAAAACAAAGCATAAGGATGCTCTAATCACGTTTTAAGGAGTCATAAACTTGTATTTAGTTTGAAATGGTTTGAATGTGGATCAACTTCGGACAAATTAAAAAAATAATGTTATTGGAATTGAAATTGATCTATTATTTTTCTTTTTCCTGTTTTGAAAAGGATCTATTAATAATCTTTGACAAGTTTACTCTATCTCTCTCTGTGTATTGTTTAGGGAACTATTGACAGTCCGGTTTTGCACCAGTTGGGGTCCTGCGTAGGTGGTCCATTTTTCCAACAAAAAATCAGCCATGATTTCAACATACCGGAAACTTTAGAGAAGGATACGCCCGGCACACGGCCATTGAACACAAGAAGCGAAGCCCGCAATCTACTTCCAATCAGGCCTTGAAAAGACGAGATACCAAACTAGTGGTGACGACGCTTATCGCAACCGTCACTTTTGCAGCAGCTTTAACTCCTCCGGGTGGATTTAAAGCGACGGAAATCCAATTCTATCGGAAGATACATTTTTCAAAGCATTTCAGTTTTTCAACCAAGTAACCTTTATACTCACAATTATTGCAATCTATAACGAATCAAATCCAATACGTATCTCGTCAATCGAAATAGCCACACCTGAAAATCTCATTCAGTATTCCATCGGAGGGATGCTGGTAGCATTTTTCTCGGCCACGATAGCAGTGACGCCCAAACGCCTTAGAATGCTTACACTTAGAAAAAACCCCTTTACTGGTCAACCTCTGTTTGATACTGTTCTCAAAGTAATTGGTTGGTTCGGGTTGGCACTTGTTTCGGTGCACGTGATTTGGACTACATATCGAAAATGGAGAAACAACCGCCCAGGCTGTAAACCGTGTAACTTATAAGTCTTTTTGGTTTTTGTGTTTTTGTTTTCTGATTAGTTTTATTAAGTGTTTCTTGCTAGTTTTCTATATATACAGTCCTCTTCTATTGAGGGATTCCTCAAATAATTTTATTTGAGGGAGGCCTTTTAGGGTACCCTATAATTTTTTTTCCAATGATCAAACCATCTATTTTCTAGGTCTTCATTCATAGATCATCTTTACAAAAAATTAGACAAATCAGAAACCGTTTCGACATCCAATTGTGTCCTACAAAATCAATGAACACGGTGCTTCAAGAAAGTACTAAAATTTCAATAACTCAAATGAGTGGTCAAATGATACGAGAAATAAAGGAAAATTTTAAGGCGACAAAACAACATAATATTCAAAATAATAAATTAATCGAAAATACTTGTTTTGCTCAGCTATTCGTTACTTGTTTCTCTGGGCCTCATTTATCAAAATAAATAATATAAAACCAGATCATTGGATGCTTTGCTTTATTAGAATGCTAGGGCATTGTTTAATTGATAAGAAAGAAGTAAATAAAATGGGAACCCTTCTGCATTGTCTACCTATCCAACCATATTCGGTATTCTCTGTTTGATATCAATAAGTGTATAAGCACTCTCCGTTTGATATCAATAAATGTAAAAGCAGCATACTAGAGACTAGAAGATACGTAGAGAAGACAAGTGTCTATTTTGAATGAGTGTCCATCATCAATGTGTCCTTTCTAGGGATCAATTGTGGGAGCAAATTTCGTCCCACTAGAATATTCGTCTAAGATTCCTTCGTCTTCTCCACTTCTCTTTCTCCCTGCAAAACAGATCGGGGTAAAAGGACCACACCCGGGGGGTGTTGGCCAAAGGCCCTCCGATGCCTAAGTTAGGTAGGGTATTTCAAGGAAAACCGGGTGGCCGGAGCCGTGTGTGGTGGCCGGAGCCTTGTGTAAGAGAGAGAAAGAAAGTGGTGGCTAGGGTTTGTGAGAAATAATTTCTGCAGAGTTTCAGTAAGAATTTAGACGTACCTTGACCTTTGTGCGTAGCCAAGTATTTATAATGGTCTCGGAAATTAGGGTTTCAAATGAATAATTCCGGGCAGGCTTGCAATGGTGCCAAAAAGCCAGATAAAGAGAGTTTCGTTTAAACATTTTCCCTTTATACGTACAACTCTACTCGATGCTTTTCTCGGTGTAGTATTTGAATTGGTGCTGGTACTTGCTTTCATAATCCCCGTGTTTATGACTATACTTCGAAAATTGAGGGAGAAATACTGGGCCCAGACTCAACCGCAGGGGTATATTGAATTAGGATATATATGATTTTGAAACATTTAAGTGACAGATTTTCTAGAATTGTATAACTCCTATAGATTTTACACGGATTTTTAATAAACTTGTATAGAATTTTATTATAGACTTCCATACTTTTGTATAAACTTTTGTTATAGATTCAGATATATTTACATAGACTTTAGTCATTCTTTTTTCCCAACACTATTCTCTGTATATGAGGATGCATTGGGATCAAAGTTTGTCTTTGCCCAACTGTGCTTAATCATGAAAAAGGAAAAGCACTTCAATGCTGGCCTCTATTGTCAAAGCTTTGGAGGGGCATTAATATTTGGAAAAACATTCAGCTCATTGCGAGAACTAACAATTTTTCAGTTGGATTTCTGTCATCATATGGCAAGGGAATAGTACCATCTTCCCTCATATCCTTCTCTTCTAGAATAACTAATATAATTTTTTAATATATATATATATACTTGCTTTTCAATGGAGATATAAACGAGTATCCCCCTAGAATGGTTGATTTAATATAGGCACTCCCATATCGAAAAGAAGCTCTTATAATATCTCCATGGCCACTGACTTCACTTCCGAGGAAGAGCAACTCGATTAAGAAGTTTGAAAATTTACAGGCTTTGGTGAGTAAATCTTTCTTCCTGGTTCTCCTTTATTGGCTCCACATCCAAATCTAGCTAGCACTTTCAGATCTCTTGTATCTTTTCCTTGTTGTCAGTCAACGTAGATAATTAAATCACTAATTGCTTCTTTGTGATTCTTAACGAACAGTAACAAACAAGAAAAAATAATGGAAGAAGAAGGACCCACGCGTCTCTTACCAACTCTCATTTAGTGGAGTAGTAGGGTATTTTCTCCTTCCCTAGTTGTTCACTTGACGACACTTTACACAGAACATGGACTTTACAATTAAGTATTAAGTTTAATACAGAAGAGGACTCAAGTACACAGAAACGAGCCAACGTTTTTAGCAGCACATGGTGGCTGCGCTTGGGCCCATCTACTTGCTCTCATGAGGGTCTTTATTTATTCAAAAATAAGGGCCTGATCGTGAACCTTTATTGACTAGTCCACGGCGCCAAAAGGGACTTTGCTTGTGAACACAAAGAGAAAGCATTCGTGTTCGCTTTGAGACCACATATCTTGACAGGTAATTAGCACTAAGCCCGTTCAGAATTATTTATGCCTCGAATGCTAAGCACGGTTCACAACACGATCCTCTTCAAGGCATTGCTGCTTCTGTGCTACATTAAGCAAGTTTCAGAGAGTTCAAAGCCATGGATCGTTTGGTATATGAGGCGGCAACATCCGGCGACGTGGGTTTGTTCAAAAGGATTAAAGATGGTGATGAATTACCAGATGTTCTTTATAAGAAAACACCCAAAGACAACAATGTTCTTCACATTGCAGCTGAATTCAAGCAAATAAAATTCTTCAATGACATCCCACTTGAATATGGATCTTCACTGTTTTGGGCGACCAACAAGAAGGGTGACACTCCACTGCACGTTGCTGCCAAAGTAGGATGTGTTGAAGTAGTTGAGTTCCTCATTGAACATGCAAGGGAAATGCATCACATGGAAAAAGCTGACGAGGAGAGCGGACCAGCTGATGGTGAATCTCAAAACAAGTTACTCCAAGTGAAAAACTCGGATAACGACACAACACTGCATCTTGCTGTTCGATACAATCACGATGAAGTTGTGATTCGGTTAATGGAAGCCGATCCTCAATTGTGTTGTTTCACTAATAACGCAAATGAGTCGCCCTTGTTCCTAGCTGTTAGAAAAGGCACTCCAAGCATTGTTCATAGTATTCTAAAGGCGTACGAGTCTGGCGTTTCTCCCTCTTTCCGGGGGACTAATGGAGTGACAGCTTTGCATGCTGCAGTGACTCAAGAACAACTGAAAGGCAAAGGTACATGAACATGACATCACATGATGAAATGTGTTGATTTTATAATTTTATTTCGGTAGAAATTTTTGCTACTTCTCACCTCTTTAGCTTTTCCTGTGTCAACATGGTAGGCGTTGTCGAGATTATGGTGTCCAAAAACCGTGACCTAATCAAAGAAGTTGATGCTATTGGATGGACTGCCTTGCACTACGCAGCATTCACAGGCAACGTTGAAGCTACTCAACTACTGATGGAATCTGATAGTTCTGCTTCTTATATCATGGACTTATCATCAAAAATGTCAGCTCTCCATGTTGCAGCCTATGCAGGCCACACCAAAGTGATGGAAGAGTTAATTCGATATCAACCTGATACTTGCGATTTGCTTAATTCAAAAAGTCAAACGGTTCTTCATTCTGCAATTTAGGTGGACAAGGCAAGGTGGTTAAGTACATATTAAGGACGCCTAAACTTACGGGACTTATTAATGAAGCTGATGAAGACGGAAACACTCCTTTGCATATCGCTGTTAAGTACAAGAAAGTAGAAATTATCTCCATTTTGACGGCCGACCATAGAGTGGACAAGGATGCCGTCAATAAAAAGTTCTCAAAAGCCATTGATATTTTTCTTGGTCAAAATAGTGAAGAACAGGTACGCAATACAGGTGCACACACACATAAAAATTTGTATAAGAAGTAAACAGTGTTTTTTTTTGGTTACTTTGGTCAGAAGTAGAGCTCATGAGTATTTTGATCCTTGCATATTAAGGGTCTAATTTGCACCAAAATAAAGTTTAAGAATCGCTAACAAAGCAAAGCATAAGGATGCTCTAATCACGTTTTAAGGAGTCATAAACTTGTATTTAGTTTGAAACGGTTTGAATGTGGATCAACTTCGGACAAATTAAAAAAATAATGTTATTGGAATTGAAATTGATCTATTATTTTTCTTTTTCCTGTTTTGAAAAGGATCTATTAATAATCTTTGACAAGTTTACTCTATCTCTCTCTGTGTATTGTTTAGGGAACTATTGACAGTCCGGTTTTGCACCAGTTGGGGTCCTGCGTAGGTGGTCCATTTTTCCAACAAAAAATCAGCCATGATTTCAACAAACCGGAAACTTCAGAGAAGGATACGCCCGGCACATCGGCCATTGAACACAAGAAGCGAAGCCCGCAATCTACTTCCAATCAGGCCTTGAAAAGACGAGATACCAAACTAGTGGTGACGACGCTTATCGCAACCGTCACTTTTGCAGCAGCTTTAACTCCTCCGGGTGGATTTAAAAGCGACGGAAATCCAGTTCTATCGGAAGATACATTTTTCAAAGCATTTCAGTTTTTCAACCAGGTAACCTTTATACTCGCAATTATTGCAATCTATAACGAATCAAATCCAATACGTATCTCGTCAATCGAAATAGCCACACCTGAAAATCTCATTCAGTATTCCATCGGAGGGATGCTGGTAGCATTTTTCTCGGCCACGATAGCAGTGACGCCCAAACGCCTCAGAATGCTTACACTTAGAAAAAACCCCTTTACTGGTCAACCTCCGTTTGATACTGTTCTCAAAGTAATTGGTTGGCTCGGGTTGGCACTTGTTTCGGTGCACGTGATTTGGACTACATATCGAAAATGGAGAAACAACCGCTCAGGCTGTAAACCGTGTAACTTATAAGTCTTTTTGGTTTTTGTGTTTTTGTTTTCTGATTAGTTTTATTAAGTGTTTCTTACTAGTTTTCTGATCACTAGCCTCTCCGTACGCACTTCTGTGCCTGCAAGAAGCTTTTATGTTTATTTTTATAATTTTTAAATTTGAATTAAAAAAGATAATGGGTAGCTGTGTTCAATAAAAATAGGATCTATTATATGATTTTTTTTTATTTTAATTTTTTTTAAATATGAAAAGTGTGAATTTACCATATTATCCTCATTTAATTAATAATTTCAATTCTTAATGTTTGTATTAATCAAAAGCATTTTCTGGCATTTTGAGTGTTTCACCATTCTCCACCTTTTGCTTTATATATACTAGCCAATTGGCACATGCGGTTTTCTTTTTTATTTTTTATTTTATTTTTAGAATTAAGAAAAGATAACATGGGTAGTCATGTTCCATAAAAATAGGACTTACTATCTAATTTTGTTTTTATTTTTATTTTTTTAAATATGAATTTACCATATTATCCTCATTTAATTAATAATTTCAATTTTTAATGTTTGAATTAACTAATGACATTTTCTGGTATTTTGAATGTTTCACCATTCTCTACCTTTTGCTTTACATATATATATATATATATATATATATACATAAGTTATGTGAACTTTTATTTATTGTGCTTTTCTTGTTTTACATTTCTTTACCCTCTGTTTGGATGAATGAATTGAAAATTACATAGAATTCTAAAAGGACATAATTTATATTTCCATCATTTCAATAATTGTCAATTGATGATTTCACTGTTTGGAGTTATGTATGTCGAATTTTGTAAATGACACTACGGAAATTGTGTAATGACACATATTTTGGTGGAAATTAAACTCAAGAATTTGATGCTCCAATTTCCACGATTTTTTCTGCACGTCATTTCATAAATTCTGCGCTTAAGTTGAGAAACAAATGAAGTTAAATTTCGAGTTATTTTCCCTCGTCCAAAAGGAGGGTTATAGTTCTTCCGAAGTATTACTCAAACGACATGTGCATTTTCCCTTTGACATCAGATGCTTTGGCCCAAATTTTTTGTTTTACATAACATATCAGTGTTAAGTTATGGTTAAAATTAGGGGTGGACGCGGTCCAGTACAGTCCGATTTCCACCTCACACTCAAATTGGAATCGGTACTATTCAACCGATTGTCATCAAAGACTGCGTTTTCAGGTCTTCCTCATGATTACCAGTGTCACACTCAGCCTGCTCCAAGTAATCTGTTGCCTAAAAAAACATTTAAGAACTCACCAACAACAATCAGTACAGTTTTAGCAGTAAGAATTGGAATTTGGGTTGTCAAAGCAAGGAAGGGCATGCAAAAGAATACTTACTTTAGTCACTGCACGGAGAACAAAGAGGAATGTGAAGTACAAATTTTGGACACGATCAGGATATTTCAAAACGCGATCATGCATCAGCTCCAGATTTTGACCCCACTGAAATTTGTATGCAGGAAGGTCAAATGCTGCGCATCTTAAGTAAAGACAGGGTAGTTCTTCTAGTTCACAAATTACGTGCATGAACCATCCAATTATCAATTCTAGATCATTCAATATGTGCTCACCGCTCTTGATGAATAAATTTTAATTCTCTGATCTTTGTGGATATAAAACATACATCAGAGAAGAAGAAAAAAAGTTGAGGGTCTGCTCATTTGCTCAGTAGTTAAGGGAAAACATGGAATGCACTTACCCCAAAGTGTAGGTTAGGTTCCAATGAAGTCCACCCAATTGGGATTGAAAAAATCGAGTACCAAACAAGACAGTAGCTAACATACACTTACTGAGTGCTACTTTATTTCATCACTTTAATTTGGATGAAATCTTTGGTCAAATCATCTTTAAAGAGTTAAAAAAACAAACTTTCCTGAGGCCCACATCAGGACTTGGTCATCAATTTCTCACTAATGATACTCTTGTATTGGACTGCAGTCCACTGCTAAGCACAAGGGTTAACAAAACTTGCACCAAACGTACTAAAGCGCATCTAAACTCACACAAGAATAAAAAGGTTTTTTTCAAATTTCAAGAAGTGTTATTATCCAACCCACTAATGGATGACCAATGCACAGGTTACAGATAATCAACACTAGTATGGCAGAAAGCTTTTAAACTTTCTACTTTCATTGGTAACTACTCGACTGCATCATTTAGAAAAGAAATTAAAGTGCACTGGGGAAAGAAAAATAGTCACATGATATGAGGCAGAAGGAGAACCAGATTAGTAGTCTTATCAAGAAGATAATCAGCAGCTATGTGGATCGAAATTGAGGAGTGAAGACCAGAGATTAATTTGTATAATACTTTTTTCTCCTGGCAAATGTCCTGAGATGAAACTGCAGAATTACAAACAAAAAACATTGAGTAAAACATATTGATATGCAACCTAGCCTCAGATTTAAGTGTCTCATTAACCCCTATTGTAGGAGTTGGACTGGCGATAGATAACCTCAATATGAAAGTAAGATATAAAACATTTTAAACATAAAATGTTACGAGCAGTCAAATTGTCCACAAAGATATAAGAAAAGGTTGAACTCACATTTCGGGCAATTTTCAGAATACACAGCATCCCATATCCTTCTCGGTGATGGACCAATATAGCCAGTGTAACGTTCAGGGTTCAATAGAAGGTTCACATATGTCATCTCACCTTGTGATATAAGGGATCCAGCTACTGTGCCTAACGGATATATTTCTCACTCCAAGTTCGTGAGATAGAGACTGAATTAGTATGAACATTCCTCTGCTACACGTATAGTAGAGCAGTTTTGTCATTCTTTGATTTTCTCTCTTCTTCTCTCCTTTGTCATCCTCAGTTCACACACTCAAAAACACTAACATGGCCTAAGAGCCAGGTTCAATCATCTGAATCTGGGTGTTCAAACTGTGAAGGAAAACGATCGGGGTATTTTGAAGCTTGTTCAAGGCTCACGAGGCTGCTTGAGCTCGATTACTTTTAAATCTGAAAATAGCTTGTTTTTAAGTACATTTGATACTATAAATGGCTGGATCTGGAAGCTCAGAGGTGAGAACTCCGATTTTCTCCTGTGAGAACTATGGCTTCTAGAGGATTAAGATGGTGATCATATTCAAATGATATGGGCTATGGAATCTGGTAGAGAATGGGATTACAATCTCTAATTCGAAGAAGAAGAAGAATGCATCTGAGGAAACCTCAGAAGAAGAAGAAGATGAGAAGATAGCTGCAATTCTCATAAAGGATGCAAAAGCTTTGGGTATCATACAAAATGCAGTCTCCGATCAAATTTTCCCACACATCGCCAATGCAGATTCTGCCAAAGTAGCTCGGGAACAATTATATGGAGAATACCATGGTGGAGATCTTGTTAGATCGGTAAAACTCCAAAATCTCATACGCGAATTTGAATATACTAGAATGCATGATAATGAGTCCTTGTCTGCTTAGCTTACTAGACTGAATGATCTGATTAATCAAATGAAAACATTTGGTGAAATTCTCTTGAATGAGAGGCTCGTTCAACAAGTTTTGATTAGTCTTAGCAAGATATATGATCCTATTTGTTTGGTGATTGAAAACACTAAAAGTCTAGAGACTGTAGAATTACAAGAAGTAATTGCTATTTAGAAGAGTCAAGAGCAACTATTTGAATTGCACAATGTTGATACAAGAGTGAAGACGAATAGTCAGTCCCACGAATGGGATAATGGCATGTTTTGTAAATTTGAAACTAAAGATTGAAATTTGAAAATCACATAATGGCATCTGTTGTAATTTTAATGTTCTTTAATTATATTTTGGTAAAAGCATGTACTATATTTTGGCTTTTGGCTTTATCCTAATTAGCTAAAATTGAGTTCCTGTTTACCTAAATAGTAAACTATATTGTACGTGAAAACTAAAGCTCCCTTTTTTTTTCCTCTTGTTTATTTGAATAAAAAATACACAGCAAAGTTTAGGATATATCGTGCAAGAGAGACAACCTAGTATCCTTTTTCTTTTTGAAATCGACAACCTAGTATTTTATCGAAAGTGACTGTGACAGGACCCGCCCCGAATTCCTCTGAACCTAGAATGAATCCTGTGGAAATTCCGACATCACACCAATGTCGGGCCCACTTACTAAAGACCGAGACTTTCTACCAAAATTTTGGCAGTCTCTCCTATAAATTGAACATTTCCCAAAAATTTCAACATGGATAAAACACATTTAATATCACCAACTGGCAGCATGCATAAGATAATTTCATGCAATTCACATAATTTGACAGGACCCGTCCCGAATTTCCCGGAACCCGAGACGAACCCTGCGGAGACCCCAGCATCACACCCATGCCGGGTTCACTCCTTAAATCTACGTCCTCATTTACCATAGAGGATCAAGGGCACGACACTTTCTGCCGAAATTTCAGCAGAGCCTTCCCTATAAATTGAACATTCCCCAAAATTTCCACCTGCATAAAACACATTTATAACCCAACCGGCAGCATGCACAATATAATCTCATGCAATTTACACAAATGGCCTCCGGCCTTCAAATGATTCTAGTAAAACTGCCCACAGAGTTTTAAAATAACTTAATGCATCAAACATGCATATAACAATTTAAAAATCTACTCACGCGCACCTTCACTCACTTAGTCCCCAGGACAAGCCTCAATTCAACCAAGTTTTGGGACCAACAACAAGGTCCAAACCAATCCCAATAAGACCACCTAAGTGGGGTCTAATCTGTGGCTGCACCTAGTAACTTCAGGCTGCCTACGTACCCTACTAAGGGATCAAGCCACACGTAGCTCTTTCCTATCAATCCTGGCTCCTGACATCAATTAAACAATTTCATCCATATAAATACATACATTCTCGGGTTTATCCATCACAACACACCAAACATAATCACATAGCTCCCCTCATACGACGGGACGCACCCGGCCTCGTACGGGGTCTGTCTACACGCCGGCTAATCCAAAGACGCGTGCGACCTCTCGCTGGGCCTGGCTACATTCTCACCAGCCATCATACTGTTCTCTTTGGCCTGGCTACATTCTCACCAGCCATCATACTATCATATCTCCCACTCATACGACGGGACGCACCCGGCCTCGTACGGGGTCTGTCTACACGCCGGCTAATCCAAAGACGCGTGCGACCTCACACTGGGCCTGGCTACATTCTCACCAGCCATCATACCATCATATCACCCACTCATACGTCGGGACGTACCCGGCCACGTACGGGGTCTGTCAACACGCCGGCTAACCCAAAGACGCGTGCGACCTCACACTGGGCCTGGCTACATTCTCACCAGCCCTTATACCATCATATCACCCACTCATACGTCGGGACGTACCCGGCCACGTACGGGGCCTGTCAACACGCCGGCTAACCCAAAGACGCGTGCGACCTCACACTGGGCCTGGCTACATTCTCACCAGCCCTTATACCATCATATCACCCACTCATACGTCGGGACGTACCCGGCCACGTACGGGGCCTGTCAACACGCCGGCTAACCCAAAGACGCGTGCGACCTCACACTGGGCCTGGCTACATTCTCACCAGCCCTTATACCATTATATCACCCACTCATACGTCGGGACGTACCCGGCCACGTACGGGGCCTGTCAACACGCCGGCTAACCCAAAGACGCGTGCGACCTCACACTGGGCCTGGCTACATTCTCACCAGCCCTTATACCATCATATCACCCACTCATACGTCGGGACGTACCCGGCCACGTACGGGGCCTGTCAACACGCCGGCTAACCCAAAGACGCGTGCGACCTCACACTGGGCCTGGCTACATTCTCACCAGCCCTTATACCATCATATCACCCACTCATACGTCGGGACGTACCCGGCCACGTACGGGGCCTGTCAACACGCCGGCTAATCCAAAGACGCGTGCGACCTCACACTGGGCCTGGCTACATTCTCACCAGCCCTTATACCATCATATCACCCACTCATACGTCGGGACGTACCCGGCCACGTACGGGGCCTGTCAACACGCCGGCTAATCCAAAGACGCGTGCGACCTCACACTGGGCCTGGCTACATTCTCACCAGCCATCATACCACCATATCTCCCACTCATACGTCGGGACGTACCCGGCCACGTACGGGGCCTGTCAACACGCCGGCTAATCCAAAGACGCGTGCGACCTCACACTGGGCCTGGCTACATTCTCACCAGCCCTTATACCATCATATCACCCCACTCATACGTCGGGACGTACCCGGCCACGTACGGGGCCTGTCAACACGCCGGCTAATCCAAAGACGCGTGCGACCTCACACTGGGCCTGGCTACATTCTCACCAGCCCTTATACCACCATATCACCCACTCATACGTCGGGACGTACCCGGCCACGTACGGGGCCTGTCAACACGCCGGCTAATCCAAAGACGCGTGCGACCTCACACTGGGCCTGGCTACATTCTCACCAGCCCTTATACCATCATATCACCCACTCATACGTCGGGACGTACCCGGCCACGTACGGGGCCTGTCAACATAATCACAATATGGGGGTACGTGGGGTAGTGCGTATAGCACTGTAAACTAACATTCAATCACTTTATATACCCTTATACATCCGCACAGTTAAGTAAATATATCATAGAATTTCTAATCCGACACTAACATCAACCAATAAAACATTCCATAAACTTCCCCCATTTAAATTCACCAATTTATATCCTAAACCCACAATATCCATTTAACTCAACAACGCTCAAGACCTGTCACTAAGGTCATCCTAACCCTCAAGGAAAGGTAAGACTATCTCGGAAGTCTCACGGTCAACCTAGGGTCAAACGGGCCTGCGGGGCCCACAACCTCCAAATTCCGATCCGAAAGTTCCTATAGGTTCTACAGGCTCTAGGACACATGTCCTGCAAGTTTGGTCCAGATCGGACGGTCGGATCGCTCACGATCGCAGAATCGGACGGTTACTTAAAACCCTAACCCCAGGGTTGGCATTTCCGGAGTATCCGGGACTCCGTTTTACGATCCGTCGAATCCTACATGATCCTGGTAATACCTAGATCAACATATTATAATCTCAGGACCATCCAACGGTCCAAACCCAGCGAACCCGGAAAATACGCGATATGCGATATCCGTTCGGGACTCTAACGGTACCCAAAATGAGATCCGAGCACACCTACGCGCTCATGACAACCTGAGGATCATTTTAGAACCTCGAGCCGGTCCATTTTCCTAGCCCACGCGCCGCCACACGCGCCGGCAGCGCGTGGGTGCCTTGTGTAATTTCCGGCGGCCGGAAAACTCCAAACCGCCGGCCAAGCTTCCTATCCTAGATGTAAAACCCTATTCTGAGCCACTTTTGTTCTTGGGCATACCCCAAAATCTGACCGGAAGTGGCCGGAATCTCATCCCGAAATCCGGCCGAAACCCAATTCGTAAATCGAGTTGCCTACGCTACAAATCGATCAATTCCTACCCAACAGGCAGCTAGAGCTCGGAAAATAGGTGAGAAACCATACCTTGATCGCAAGATTTGGTGGCCGGAATCGCCGGAACGAGCTCCGGAAAATCTGGGTAAAAACCGGCCGTTTTTCTGCACTTTCCGGCGGTATCGCTGCCGGCTGACGTCGGAGAACAGGTGGGGTAGGACGGCGGAGTCAGGCCGGTCATTTTGGGACCGGTCCCGACCCGAGTGGTGGCCGGATGACTGAACGGCCGGCCAAAACGTGGCCGGCTGTGGTGGCGGTCGCGAACCAGAGGAGAGAGAGAGGACGCGCGGGAGAGAGAGAGTGTGAGAGAGACGGGGGCAATTCCGTCTTTTAACCAAAAATCCCACTTCAAAATATTTACGATTATGCCACTGAGCTTCATTTGATCATATCTCTCTCGTTACAACTCCGATTCGAGCCCACTACATGTCTACGAACTCATCTCGCCGTGCTCTACGCAACGGTACATCCGGAATTCCCAAATTCCTTCCGGGCAAGAAAATGACTAAAATACCCCTATCCCACGGGTAATTTCTCAATTCCACTTAAATAAATTAAAACATGGGATAAATTTGGGGTCGGGGTGTTACATACTACCCCCCTTATAAAAATTTCGTCCCCGAAATTTCATACCTGCCACTTCAAAGGGTGTGGGTACTGGGCCCGCATCTACTGCTCGGGTTCCCATGCTTCATCCTCCACAACCAAGTTGGCAGCCAAGTCATTCCATTTGTGATTTGATTCTCTTCTAGCTCTCCCACTAAGAGAAGTCCAAACTCCTTGACTTGTTGATATCTTCCTTCTTTCTTTAGAATCGATAAGCAATATTGCCAACACGATTCTTTGAGAGGGATGTCAGAAAGGGTCATTTTTACCGAATTGTAATCATCATCTTCCTCTCTCTACCATGACCCATTTCTGATTCCGATGAAAGATTTCTGCTCAAACGTGCTCACTGCACACAATCGAGAATTAGCAGCATGTTCAGGCAATGGAGGATCTCTAGAAACGAGTTTATCAACTCCATGTTCTCCTGCCCATAAGAACTCAACAACCTCCGTCTGTGGTAAAGCTCTAGCTCTACTTCTGCCTCAACGGCCTATGTACCTTTCCTCTTCCTCTTTCTCATATTGGTTCCCTTTGCAGAGGGGTAGGCAGAAGTAACCCAAGTCGCCGGTCAAACTCACAGTGGCCGGACTTCAAAGAAATTTTGGAGTTCAAATTCACTGCGTGAGAAAGCAAGGAAGAAGAACCATAAGGTTCCACTCCTGTCAATTGCGGCATTCAAGCTCACGCGAGTGAAATGATACTTCACCCAACTCTACTACTTCTCAACTTAATTTGTCACGACCCTCCTTGGTCGGACTCACAACTCCTCCATCCCCTTGTAACTTGTCCATCAACTTCCTCTGACAATTTCATCTCATCTCAGCAGATTCAACACTTTCAGCTCTTCCATTTCCTTCCATAGGATATTGAGATACGACAATTTGGATAGACACGTTTCTAAGAACGTGACACCCTTAAGTGTACTCATCAATACCCTAAATCCATCCATGTCAAAAAAAATCCTCCGCGTCAAAATGATGACGTCCTGTGACGGAACCCATCATGCTCCCACAACTTAAGGATGCACACAAGGTGCGGGGTCCACAAGAAATTGAACCTAGGCTCTGATACCAAGCTGACAGGACCCGTCCCGAATTTCCCGGAACCCGAGACGAACCCTGCGGAGACCCCAGCATCACACCCATGCCGGGTTCACTCCTTAAATCTACGTCCTCATTTACCATAGAGGATCAAGGGCACGACACTTTCTGCCGAAATTTCAGCAGAGCCTTCCCTATAAATTGAACATTCCCCAAAATTTCCACCTGCATAAAACACATTTATAACCCAACCGGCAGCATGCACAATATAATCTCATGCAATTTACACAAATGGCCTCCGGCCTTCAAATGATTCTAGTAAAACTGCCCACAGAGTTTTTAAAATAACTTAATGCATCAAACATGCATATAACAATTTAAAATCTACTCACGCGCACCTTCACTCACTTAGTCCCCAGGACAAGCCTCAATTCAACCAAGTTTTGGGACCAACAACAAGGTCCAAACCAATCCCAATAAGACCACCTAAGTGGGGTCTAATCTGTGGCTGCACCTAGTAACTTCAGGCTGCCTACGTACCCTACTAAGGGATCAAGCCACACGTAGCTCTTTCCTATCAATCCTGGCTCCTGACATCAATTAAACAATTTCATCCATATAAATACATACATTCTCGGGTTTATCCATCACAACACACCAAACATAATCACATAGCTCCCCTCATACGACGGGACGCACCCGGCCTCGTACGGGGTCTGTCTACACGCCGGCTAATCCAAAGACGCGTGCGACCTCTCGCTGGGCCTGGCTACATTCTCACCAGCCATCATACTGTTCTCTTTGGCCTGGCTACATTCTCACCAGCCATCATACTATCATATCTCCCACTCATACGACGGGACGCACCCGGCCTCGTACGGGGTCTGTCTACACGCCGGCTAATCCAAAGACGCGTGCGACCTCACACTGGGCCTGGCTACATTCTCACCAGCCATCATACCATCATATCACCCACTCATACGTCGGGACGTACCCGGCCACGTACGGGGCCTGTCAACACGCCGGCTAACCCAAAGACGCGTGCGACCTCACACTGGGCCTGGCTACATTCTCACCAGCCCTTATACCATCATATCACCCACTCATACGTCGGGACGTACCCGGCCACGTACGGGGCCTGTCAACACGCCGGCTAACCCAAAGACGCGTGCGACCTCACACTGGGCCTGGCTACATTCTCACCAGCCCTTATACCATCATATCACCCACTCATACGTCGGGACGTACCCGGCCACGTACGGGGCCTGTCAACACGCCGGCTAACCCAAAGACGCGTGCGACCTCACACTGGGCCTGGCTACATTCTCACCAGCCCTTATACCATTATATCACCCACTCATACGTCGGGACGTACCCGGCCACGTACGGGGCCTGTCAACACGCCGGCTAACCCAAAGACGCGTGCGACCTCACACTGGGCCTGGCTACATTCTCACCAGCCCTTATACCATCATATCACCCACTCATACGTCGGGACGTACCCGGCCACGTACGGGGCCTGTCAACACGCCGGCTAACCCAAAGACGCGTGCGACCTCACACTGGGCCTGGCTACATTCTCACCAGCCCTTATACCATCATATCACCCACTCATACGTCGGGACGTACCCGGCCACGTACGGGGCCTGTCAACACGCCGGCTAATCCAAAGACGCGTGCGACCTCACACTGGGCCTGGCTACATTCTCACCAGCCCTTATACCATCATATCACCCACTCATACGTCGGGACGTACCCGGCCACGTACGGGGCCTGTCAACACGCCGGCTAATCCAAAGACGCGTGCGACCTCACACTGGGCCTGGCTACATTCTCACCAGCCATCATACCACCATATCTCCCACTCATACGTCGGGACGTACCCGGCCACGTACGGGGCCTGTCAACACGCCGGCTAATCCAAAGACGCGTGCGACCTCACACTGGGCCTGGCTACATTCTCACCAGCCCTTATACCATCATATCACCCACTCATACGTCGGGACGTACCCGGCCACGTACGGGGCCTGTCAACACGCCGGCTAATCCAAAGACGCGTGCGACCTCACACTGGGCCTGGCTACATTCTCACCAGCCCTTATACCACCATATCACCCACTCATACGTCGGGACGTACCCGGCCACGTACGGGGCCTGTCAACACGCCGGCTAATCCAAAGACGCGTGCGACCTCACACTGGGCCTGGCTACATTCTCACCAGCCCTTATACCATCATATCACCCACTCATACGTCGGGACGTACCCGGCCACGTACGGGGCCTGTCAACATAATCACAATATGGGGGTACGTGGGGTAGTGCGTATAGCACTGTAAACTAACATTCAATCACTTTATATACCCTTATACATCCGCACAGTTAAGTAAATATATCATAGAATTTCTAATCCGACACTAACATCAACCAATAAAACATTCCATAAACTTCCCCCATTTAAATTCACCAATTTATATCCTAAACCCACAATATCCATTTAACTCAACAACGCTCAAGACCTGTCACTAAGGTCATCCTAACCCTCAAGGAAAGGTAAGACTATCTCGGAAGTCTCACGGTCAACCTAGGGTCAAACGGGCCTGCGGGGCCCACAACCTCCAAATTCCGATCCGAAAGTTCCTATAGGTTCTACAGGCTCTAGGACACATGTCCTGCAAGTTTGGTCCAGATCGGACGGTCGGATTGCTCACGATCGCAGATCGGACGGTTACTTAAACCCTAACCCCAGGGTTGGCATTTCCGGAGTATCCGGGACTCCGTTTTACGATCCGTCGAATCCTACATGATCCTGGTAATACCTAGATCAACATATTATAATCTCAGGACCATCCAACGGTCCAAACCCAGCGAACCCGGAAAATACGCGATATGCGATATCCGTTCGGGACTCTAACGGTAACCAAAATGAGATCCGAGCACACCTACGCGCTCATGACAACCTGAGGATCATTTTAGAACCTCGAGCCGGTCCATTTTCCTAGCCCACGCGCCGCCACACGCGCCGGCAGCGCGTGGGTGCCTTGTGTAATTTCCGGCGGCCGGAAAACTCCAAACCGCCGGCCAAGCTTCCTATCCTAGATGTAAAACCCTATTCTGAGCCACTTTTGTTCTTGGGCATACCCCAAAATCTGACCGGAAGTGGCCGGAATCTCATCCCGAAATCCGGCCGAAACCCAATTCGTAAATCGAGTTGCCTACGCTACAAATCGATCAATTCCTACCCAACAGGCAGCTAGAGCTCGGAAAATAGGTGAGAAACCATACCTTGATCGCAAGATTTGGTGGCCGGAATCGCCGGAACGAGCTCCGGAAAATCTGGGTAAAAACCGGCCGTTTTTCTGCACTTTCCGGCGGTATCGCTGCCGGCTGACGTCGGAGAACAGGTGGGGTAGGACGGCGGAGTCAGGCCGGTCATTTTGGGACCGGTCCCGACCCGAGTGGTGGCCGGATGACTGAACGGCCGGCCAAAACGTGGCCGGCTGTGGTGGCGGTCGCGAACCAGAGGAGAGAGAGAGGCACGCGCGGGAGAGAGAGAGTGTGAGAGAGACGGGGGCAATTCCGTCTTTTAACCAAAAATCCCACTTCAAAATATTTACGATTATGCCACTGAGCTTCATTTGATCATATCTCTCTCGTTACAACTCCGATTCGAGCCCACTACATGTCTACGAACTCATCTCGCCGTGCTCTACGCAACGGTACATCCGGAATTCCCAAATTCCTTCCGGGCAAGAAAATGACTAAAATACCCCTATCCCACGGGTAATTTCTCAATTCCACTTAAATAAATTAAAACATGGGATAAATTGGGGTCGGGGTGTTACATAATTGGCCTCCGACCTTCAAATAATCCCTAACCAGACTACCAACAAAGTCCTTAAGCCCAAGAATACCTTAACCAAGGCAAATAATAAACTCAAACATAATTATGATTGCCAAATGCGATTTCCATCATCTAACTTCCCAAATATCCAATATACGATGTAACGACCTAGTCCAAAATAAATTGGCAAATATTAATTTATTCTGATAAAAGACCATTTTGCCCCTAGAATGTTTTATTAGGTTTAAAGTTGACTTTTTGACCAGGAAGGAATTTGGGAATTTCGACTGTACCGTTGCATAGAGCACGGCGAGGTGAGTCTGTAGACATGTAGTGGGCTCGAATCGGAGTTGTAACGAGAGATATACGATCAAAATACCCTCAATGGCATAACCGTAATTTTGGCAAAAATGGTTTGATAAATCTTTTTTTTTTTCTCTCTCTCTCTCTCCTCTCTCGCGACGGCTGTAACAGCCGGCCACGTTTTGGCCGACCGTGCTCTCGTCCGGCCACCAAAGTTGACAGGGCCGGTACCAAAATGACTGGGTCGCCGTCCTCTTCCAACCTCAGCTAGACCCTGCCTCCAGCCACCGTGATTTCGCCGGAAAAACGAAAAGAAAAGCCCGATTTCGCTCGAAAGTTCGCCGGCTTCGATCTCTTTCCTCCGGCCACCATTTTTGGCGATCCAGGTATGGAAATCCATCTATTTCTCTAGCTCTAGTTGATGGTTGGGTAGGATTTCATTAATTTTGAGCTTAGATTGTCTGATTTTCGAGTTAGGGTTCTGCCGGTTTTGGGATAGCGATTCTGGCCAATTCTGGTCATTTTTAGGGTATGTCCAAAAACAAAAGTGACTCCAAATGGGGTTTTACACTTAGGATAGGAAGCTTGGCCGGCGGTTTGGAGTTTTTCAGCCGTTGGAAATTACTCAGGGCACCCACACTCTTCGGGCGAGTGTGGCGGCGCGTGGGCCAGGAAAGTGGACCGGCGATCTCCTAGTCCTCACGAGCGTGTAGGTGTGCTTGGATTTCAATTTGGATACCGTTTGAGTCTCGAACGAATATCGCCTATTACGCGTTATCCGGGTTCGATAGGTTTGGACAGTTGGATGGTCTTGAATGTATTAGAGCACTTCCACCAGTTAGCCCCTTGCCATGGCAAGGGGAGCCCTAGGGCAGCTACTATTCACGTGAATAGTGGCTGCCCTACCCTCCCTTAGCAAAGTGTGTTTCCAGCAGTTTAGGCTTGCCATGGCAAATACTATTCATTTTTTTTTGTTTTTTTCACAACTTTGTTTACTTAAACAATTAATTTGGATAATATTTTCGGATAAGATTTTTGGGTTCCTACATATAAAAAATCATTTTCTCAAGATTTTTAGCGGAGGTGTAATATTGACTAAGTATGAAAAATGGTTTTTCGAAATAATCATTTTCTCAAGAAAATTTTTGGCGGCTTTTATTCCTTACACATCAAATAAGAAAACTTGATTTTATGGGATTTTAATATGAAGTATATATTGACTTAATGAGCCATCATTTTTAGCCTAAATCGTATTTTGCACTAAAACCGATTTTTCATATTTTGATTTGGTGGGAATTTGATTTTCTAGTATTTTTATTTGAATCCAAATGGGGGGTACTTCCTTATTTACATTGTAAACTTAAGTAAATGGAATAATATAAAAATAAATAAAAGTAAAAGGAAAAAAAAAAATTTGGTATTTTTTATTACAAAAATATTGGTTGTTGGTGTTAAAAGTGAAGAGTATTGGTTGGTATTTATAGAAAACAATTTCAGTATTTTTTGGGTAATTTTTTACATTTTTTTCTTTTTTTTATTGGGAACAATGGGGGTGACGTCATCGTGACATCAGCTCAGCCCGCAGGCAAGCACTCAGGCCGAACCCCACCTCGGGCCAGCCCAGGTTGCTGGCCCCCACCTCTTGCCCGGGCTCCATTTTGTTGCTGGAAACACCTACAGGACCCCCCCCCCCCCCCCCCCCCCCCCCCGAGCGCAGCTTGCATTGCTGGAAATGCTCTTATAAGTTAATTTGGACATCCTTAGGATCGTGTAGGATTCGACGGATCGTAAAACAGAGTCCTGGATACTCCGAAAATGGCAACCCTAGGGCTAGGGTTATAGTAGTCGTCTGATCGTGCGATCGTGAGCGATCCGACCGTCTAATCTGGACCAAACTTGCAGGACGTGTGTTGTAAGCCCTATAGAACACATAGGAACTTTCGGATTGGAGAACGGAGGTCGTGGGTCCCGTGTGCCCGTTTGACCAAGTTTGAGTAGGTTGACCCCTCGGTTGACTGTAAGGCTTCTAGGGTAACTTCACCTTCGAGGAGTACTAGAATGGCCGTTATTTGAGTTTAGTCACTACGTTGGGGTTTTGATATTGTTTTTTATGGTAGGAAAATACTTTGGTGCTATGTTAATAATTGACATTGTGTTACCTAGGTTGTTTATGTGGGAAATTATATATATATATATATATATATATTAAAGACATAAAGATGTTTGATTACATTGTAAGTACCATCCTATGATGATGAGATCCCACGTGTCGTAGGATTTTCCGGCTTGTTGACAGACCCCATACGTGGCGTTGGTAGTTCCGGCGTATGGGGAGATTATGTGATATAATGATGAGGTCCCACGTGTCGTAGGATTTTCCGACGTGTTGACAGACCCCATACGTGGCGTTGGTAGTTCCAGCGTATGGGGAGATTATGTGATATAATGATGAGGTCCCACGTGTCGTAGGATTTTCCGACATGCGGACAGGCCCCATACGTGGCGTTGGTAGTTCCGGCGTATGGGGAGATATTGTGATATGATGATGAGCACACGTGTCGTAGGATTTTCAGGCGTGTTGACAGACCCCAAACTTGACGTTGGTAGTTCCGGCGTATGGGGAGATTTTGTAATATGATGATGAGGTCCCACATGTCGTAGGATTTTCCGGCGTGCTGACAGGCCCCATACGTGGCGTTGGTAGTTCTAGCGTATGAGGAGATATTGTGATATGATGATGAGGTCCCACATGTCGTAGGATTTTCCGGCGTGTGGACAAGCCCTATACGTGGTGTCGGTAGTTTCGGCGTATGGGGAGATTATGTAACATGAGATGATAGGTCACACGTGGCGTAGGATTTTTTGGCGTGTTGACAGGCCCCATACATGGCGTTGGATATTCCGGTGTATGGGGAGATTATGTGATTATTAGAAAGATGTTGGAAAAAGATTGTGTTTGGTGAGTTGTGATTTAAATTAAAAAGGGAATGGAATAAATCCTAGAATGTATGAATTTGTAATGGTTCGTATGTTATTGGAACCAGGATTCTTGTTGAAAGAACTATGTGTGGCTTGATCCTTGGTTGAGGGTATGTAGGTAGCCTGGGGTCCCACCCGGGTGCAGCCGCTGTCTAAAATTTACTTATGTTGTGTTATTGAGGTTGGTTTGGACCTTGTCGTTGGTCCTGAACTTTGGGTGAAAACAAGATGCATTTGGGTTAGGAGGTTAAACCTCGCATGCTTAAAATTTGGGAAGTTAATTTATGTTATTTGTCATGGGCATTCATAAATGAGTTTGAGTTTAATTGGTCTGCATTGTTTAATGCTTTGTTTCGATTTAAGAGCATTGCTGGAGATTCTGTTTCCATTTATGTGAAGGTCGGAGGCCGATTATGCGAATTGCATGAAATTATCTTGTGCATGTTGCCGGTTGGTGATATTAAATTGTGTTTTATGTAGGTTGAAGTTTTGGGAAATGTTCTATTTACAGAGGAGACTTTGCTGAATTTCCGGCAGAAAGTCTCGGCCTTATTCCTTTTTGGGAAAAGAGGATATAGTTTCAAAAATGGGCCTGACATCGGGGTGATGTTGGGAATTCCACAGGATTCGTCTCGGGTTCCGAGGAATTCGGGGCGGGGTCTTGTCATACGAGGTTTTAACCTCCTAACACAATCGCAAGTAATTTAAGGCCTCAGCCCAAATCGTACAACAATCCAAAACGAGTTTTATACTTGTTTTGGTCATAACACATTTACACAATCCTCCCTCAGCCAAACAGGAGTATGAACAATTATTTAATCGCATCTTGTTTTCAACCGAGCTTCAGGACCAACAACAAGGTCAGAACCAGACTCAATAACACCACATAAGTAATGTTTAGCCTGTGGCTGCACCGAGGTACTATCCTAGGCTGCCTACGTACCCCTTGTGATGGATCAAGCCACACATAGTTCTTTCTCCACTACAGTATCACAATCCTTTATTCATCTCTCTGTTATTTTACTAGACGCCGGAAGATCCGACGCCATGTGTAGTAAAATAACGATACCCGAGTATACGAATCTTTTATCACACACCGGATAATCCAACGCCACGTGTGAGGAACTAATAACATAATCATAATGTCTCACACGCCGGAATATTCAAACGCCACGTGTGAGACCGGGCAATCACATATTCTTCCCATACACCGAAAAATCCAACGCCATGTATGGGGTCTGTCAACACGCCGAAAAATCTTATGCCACATGTGACCTAACCATCACATAATCTCCCCAAACACCGGAAAATCCAATGCCACGTATGGGATCTGTCAACACGCCAGAAAATCCTACGCCAGGTGTGACCTAACCATCACATAATCTCCCCATACGCCGGAAAATCCAAAGTCACGTATGGGGTCTGTCAACACGCCAAAAAATCCTACGCCACGTGTGACCTAATAATCATATATTCTTTTCCCACAACAAATAATAATATTTATTTCTGATTTCCCCCAGTTTAAAACAATAAACTAATATCCTAATCCCACATAATCAACACAACTCAACTAACGATATGGTCATTTTAATCCTCCTCGGAAGGTAAAGCTACCTCGGGAGTCTCACGGTCAACCCAGGGTCAAACTACCCAACCTTGGTCAAACGGGCCTCCAGGGCCCACGACCTCTAAATTCCGATCCAAAGGTTGCTATAGGCTTTACAAGGTTTAGGATACACGTCCTGCAAGTTTAGTCTGGATCAGACAGTTGGATCGCTCACGATCGCACAATCGGAAGGTTACTATAAACCTAGCCCTAGGGTTGGCATTTCCGGAGTATCCAGGACTCCGTTTTACAATCCGTCAAATCCTACATGATCCTAGGGATGTCTAGATTATCATATATTAAATTCAAGACGATCCAACGGTTAAAACCTATTGAACCCGAATAATGCACAATAGGCGAAATCCGTTCGATACTCAAACAGTATCCAAATTGACATCCGAGTACACCTACGAGCTCATGAGGATCAGGAGATTACCTCGGGACACAATGCCCCTTTTCTACAGTGCCCACGCGCAGGCAGCACGTGGGTGTCCAAAGCGCGACTCACAACTCCTTCTTTAGCTGTAACACCCTATTTGGAACCACTTTTGTTCTTGGACCTACACCAAAAAGTAACCCGAAGTGGCCGGAATCACGATCCCAAAAGTGGCTGAAATCCAATTCGAAAATCACATAATATAGGCTCAAAATTGATGCAATCCTACCCAACCATCAGCTAGATTATGAAGGAAGGATAAATTTCCATACCTTGATCGACAAAATGGCGGTCGGAGGAGAGAGATCAAAGCCAACAAAGTTTCGAGCAAAAACTAGCCTAAAAACCACATTTTCTGGTGGCTGGAGCGACGGCCGATATCGGGGAAGGGCGGGTCATGACGCCGTGGCTGAGCCAATCCTTTTGGCACCGATCCCGTCCGCAGCTGTGGCCGGTGTCTGGAGTTTTGAAGAGAGAGAGAGAGAGAGAGAGAGAGAGAGAATTAGATTTTTAACAAACCCTTTTGCCAAAATTACGGTTATGCCACTAAGGGTATTTTGATCGCATCTTCTTCGTTACAACTCCAATTCGAGCCAACTACATGTCTATTGACTCATCTCACCATGCTCTACGCAACGGTATAGTTAAAATTCCGAAATTCCTTCCCTGTCAAAAAGTCAACTTTAAACCTAATAAAATATTCTAAGGGCAAAATGGTCTTTTATCTGAATAAATCAATAATTACCAATTTATTTAGGACCAGGTCGTTACAGACTGGATTATCGGAGTGATAGTCCTAGTAATGATTTGTTTCACTTCTTTTATTCGTTAATCTTAGATGGATGGTATGTGGGAGTGATTTTCGTCCCTTAGAATATTTGATCAATAGATTCCCTTTTCTCCTTCCTCGAACTCTTTCTCCCTGCAAAACCAATCGGAGTAAAAGGACCACACCTGGGGGGTGTTGGCCAAAGACCCTCTTATGCCTAAGTTAGTTCGATTGATTTGTAGAGAAACAATAGTTAAAAATGGTACGAAGCTCTCGCAGGGAGAGAACCGAGTAGCTGGAGCCGTGTGTGGTGGGCGGAACCTTGTGTAAGAGAGAGAAGGAGATGGCAGCAAGGAGGGGAATTTCTGCAGTAGTTTGAGAGCTTAGAATGACTTACCTCATGCCTTGCATAGCCTCTTATTTATAGAGCCTCGTAGGGCTAGGGTTTGGAGGAAAATAATCCTTGTTGATAAAGGAATTATTTTTTCTGATTTTAGGAGATTTAAATCAATTAGGGATTTGATAAGGATCAAATCCCTAATTCAAGGCAAGAATTCCCAAATCAAATAATTCCCAAATGAAAGGAAATATTTGACCTAGGGTTTTGTTAAAATTCAGTTCCCACAATATACATGTACTTTCCTTGCCATCGACAACTGGAAAATTCTTTACGAAAAGAATTAGTTCTGTCATTGATTTTGTGTGGTGGAGACTTTGCTTTTCTAGTATACCAAGGAATTGTTTGATCGTGACAGAAAGAGTAAATAACAAGGAAAAAGCCTTGTGCTTTTCTAGTATACCAAGGCACTCTCAGTTCGATATTAATAAGCATATATACGCAGAGCATAGAATCTGAAATGGAAGACTTTGACGGGTACTCGAGTAATAATCATTCTTTGTATAAATGCTTTTTGTTGAGAAGACGACGATTCAGGTCCTGTGTGAGATTCTGATCATGGCTGATAAGAGAGAATAAATTAAAGAGAGAGCCGCCGTAAGCAATACACAGCTTGTATTGCAATAATTAATACGTGCTTTGCCCACTACTTTGAGAGAGAGAGAGAGAGAGAGAGATCAAAGCTAGCTAGCCATGGATCCTTCTCTGTATGAGGCGGCAACATCAGGTGATGTTGGTTTCTTGAGACAAATAATTAGAGATGGTGGTGTATCAATTGATCTTCTCCATCAGAAAACGCCTAAAGACAACAATATTCTTCATATTTCCGCTGAATTCAAGCAAATAGATTTCTTCGAAAATGTCAATCCAAATCAATTTGGTCAGCTGTTTTGGGCCACCAACAAGAAGGGTGACACTCCATTGCACGTTGCTGCCAAAGTAGGATGTGTTGAAGTAGTTGAGTTCCTCATTGAACATGCAAGGAAAATGCATCATCACATGGAAAAAGGTGACGAGGAGAGCGGACCAGCTGATAGTGAATCTCAAAACAAGTTACTCCGAGTGAAAAACTCGGATAATGACACAACGTTGCATCTTGCTGTTAGATACAATCACGATGAAGTTGTGATTCGGTTAATGGAAGCTGATCCTCAATTGTGTTGTTTCACTAATAACGCGAATGAGTCGCCCTTGTCCCTAGCTGTTAGAAAAGGCACTCCAAGCATTGTTCATTGTATTCTGAAGGCGTACGAGTCTGGCATTTCTCCTTCTTTTCAGGGGACAAACGGATTGACAGCTTTGCATGCTGCAGTGACTCAAGAACAACTCAAAGACAAAGGTACGTGAACATGGCATCACCTGATGAAATGTGTTGATTTTATATTACGAGGATTTTATTTTGGTGGAAATTTTCACTACCTCTCCCCTCTTTAGTTTTTCCTATATCAACATGGTAGGCGTTGTCGAGATTCTGGTGTCCAAAAACAGTGACCTAATCAAAGAAGTTGATGCTATTGGATGGACTCCCTTGCACTACGCAGCATTCACAGGGAACATTGAAGCTACTCAACTACTGATGGAATCTGACAGTTCTGCTTCTTATATCCTGGACTTATCAAAAATGTCAGCTCTCCATGTTGCAGCTTATGCAGGCCACACCGAAGTGATGAAAGAGTTAATTCGATATCAACCTGATACTTGCGATTTGCTTAATTCAAAAGGCCAAACGGCTCTTCATTCTGCAGTTTTAGGTGGACAAAGAGATGTGGTTGAGTACATATGAAAGACGCCTAAGCTTTCGGGACTTATTAATGAAGTTGATGAAGACGGAAACACTCCTTTGCATATTGCGGTTATCTACAAAAAATTTGATGTTATCACCATTTTGACGGCCGACGTTAGAGTGGACACTACTGCTGTCAATAGAAAATTGTCAAAAGCCATTGATATTTTTCTTGGACAAAATATTGAAGAACAGGTACGCAAAGTGCACACACAAATTCGAGACAAATAAAAACAACTCCTTTTAGGAAGCTTTCATCATCTCCCACGTTTTTTTTTGGATTAACGAGGGAGGTGAAGACACTTGGATATGTAAGTTGTTGGTGCGTCCTACCCTATAACTAAATGAAATTGATCTATTGTGTTTTATTACCCAGTGCAGTTAGGTTAGAAAGCTTATTAATTCGTTCTGACATCTTCTGTGTACTAAATACAGTACTCTCTCCCCCTATGTTTTAGGAAAGTATTGACACTCCGTTTTTGCAACACTTGGGGTCCTCCGTGGGTGGTCCATTTTTCCAACAAAAAATCAGAGATGAATTCAACAGACTGTAACCATCAGAGAAGGATACGCCCGGCACACCCGCCATTGAACACACCAAGAGGCAAAACCGGCAAGCTACTTCAAATCAGACCTTGAAAAGACATGATACCAAACTAGTGGTGACGACACTTATCGCAACCGTCACTTTTGCAGCCGCATTAAGCCCTCCTAGAGGATTTAAAACCGACCGGTTTTGTTCGAAAATTCATCTTTCAGAGTTTTTATGATTTTCAACATGTTATCCTTCATACTCGCAATTCTTGTGATTTATAACGAATCAACTCCAATACGTTTCTTGTCCATCAAAATACCCACACCTGCACGTCTCATTCGGTATTCCATCGGAGGGTTGCTGGTAGCATTTTTTTCGGGCAGGCTTGCAATGGTGCCAAAAAGCCAGATAAAGAGAGTTTCGTTTAAACATTTTCCCTTTATACGCACAACTCTACTCGATGCTTTTCTCGGTGTAGTATTTGAATTGGTGCTGGTACTTGCTTTCATAATCCCCGTGTTTATGACTCTACTTCAAAAATTGAGGGAGAAATACCGGGCCCAGACTCAACCGCGGGGTTATATTGAATTAGGATTATATATGATTTTGAAACATTTAAGTGACAGATTTCCTAGAATTGTATAACTCCTATAGATTTTACACGGATTTTTAATAAACTTGTATAGAATTTTATTATAGACTTCCATACTTTTGTATGAACTTTTGTTATAAATTCTGATATATTTGCATAGACTTTGGTCATTCTTTTTTCCCAACACTGTTCTCTGTATATGAGGATGCGTTGGGATCAAAGTTTGTCTTTGCCCAACTGTGCTTAATCATGAAAAAGGAAAAGCACTTCAATGCTGACCTCTATTGTCAAAGCTTTGGCGGGGCATTAATATTTGGAAAAACATTCAGCTCATTGCGAGGAGAACTAACAATTTTTCAATTGGATTTCTGTCATCATATGGCAAGGGAATAGCACCATCTTCCCTCATATCCTTCTCTTCTAGAATAACTAATATAAATTTTATATATATATATATATATATATATTTGCTTTTCAATGGAGATATAAACGAGTATCCCCCTAGAATGGTTGATTTAATATAGGCACTCACTCCCATATCGAAAAGAAACTCTTATAATATCTCCATGGCCACTGACTTCACTTCCGAGGAAGAGCAACTCGATTAAGAAGTTTGAAAATTTACAGGCTTTGGTGCGTAAATCTTTCTTCCTGGTTCTCCTTTATTGGCTCCACATCCAAGTCTAGCTAGCACTTTTAGATCTCTTGTATCTTTTCCTTGTAGTCAGTCAACGTAGATAATTAAGTATTAAGTTTAATACAGAAGAGGACTCAAGTCCATACACAATATGAGTCCGTACACAGAAACGAGCCAACGACTTGAGCATTTAAAGAAGTCTACAAAAATAAGTCTACTAAATACTATTTGTTTATTGCACCGCGTGTGGTGTAAGTAATAAAAAGATAATTCAGTCTTTAAAAACCATTCAAAGCATTTAAAGATTTTTTAAACCAACGGAGGAGATGAGATTAGGAGCTAGTTGCCAATTTGGAAAGAGAATCAAACCATACCAAAAGCTAGTTGCCAATTTGAAGACTTGTCCATCTTTGACTCCTTATTTGTACACACATAGCAAATGAAGCTCGAAAATTGAAAATTGAGGGAGAAACAACCGGCCAAGCTGTCAATCGTGTAACTTATATGTCTTTTTGGTTTTTTTGTTTTTGTTATCTGATTAGTTTTAATAAGTGTTTCTTATTAATTCTTGCATAATCAGAAAATGAAAACATCTCATTAACTGTTTTCTCTTATAACTTTCTCTCGCAACATTTTTTAACAATAAGTAATTTTCTTATAGTTGACCAAACAAACTAGGCTTCCCAAATTTTTTAAAAAAATCACATACCACCCCAAATAAGTAATGTCAACCGGGCACTTAGTGTTTTTATTTTTATTTTTTTTATTTTAATACTTATAACTGTGATGTAGGGATAGGCATTCAAACCAGAAAACTGGTAAATCGGGCCGAACTGGACTAAAAGAAACTAGGTTGACCAAAAACTTGGTTGAGTTGACCAAAAATCTAACTGGACCGATTCTAACCGATTCTAGTTCCGATTTGACATCTCTAAAAAAGGGACCGGGCCAAATCGAACTGGAATCAAATAAAAAATAAACAAATAGGAATATATTTTGGTGACCCAACTATTAATCCCATGATATTTCTCACTTCCCAAGCCCAATGCCAACACCTAACCTTACTTAAACCCAACAACTAAAGCCCATCAACTAACACCTAACCCTAAACCCACTTTTTCTGTCATTTCTCTCTACCTTATCTTTACTTTTTCTTCCTTTGTGCACCACTTCTCTGTCTTTCTTCTACACTTTCTTTATTTCTCTTTCTATAGTTTTCTTCTTCTTTCTCTTTCTCTTTTTTTCTCTCTTTTTCTTCTTCCTCTTTCGCTCCTTTTCTTCTTTTTTCTCTTTCTTCTTCCTCTTTATGATTCCGATTTTCTCTTTCGGATCTTCATCCTTTTCCTCATGACATGTGTCACTTTCTTTACACTTAAAACAATGTAATTAATGCATCAAATAGACTATCATTTGTTTTCCAAATTTACCCTTATTAAATCTATTGATTTTAATTTATTTAAAATTTATTCAAATTTTTTTACAAACTTTTTACCACCTTGTTAAAAATTAATTAAGAAAAATCTAAGTTTGAGCATTTTTCAAGGAAGACTCTGTCAGTTTTCCGGTAAAAGTCAAATCCTAAAGCAGTTTTTGGGATTAGGGCAAAAAATGTATTTTGGTAATTCATGCTCGACACTTACCAGGCGTTGGACATGCACGGGGTTCGACACGAATTCCAAAGTGAAATTTGGGTCGGGTCTTGTCAGATTTGGTGTGGCACAATGGACCACAATAATAAAATCGCAACAAATAATAGGCTTCATGCGTATCAATACAAATTTTAACTAATGTTAAATTTAATGTTTAATGTCCTTGTTGTAACTTTGAAGCATAATGTTTATATGTTCGAAACAGCTCAAACTATTTCAATCCAAAAAAATCCATTAGAGCGTGTTTTGTTAAGAGACTTTTTGTCCGCTATTGTTTTTAAGAAGTCAAGTTGCTTATGATATTTTGTAAGGCTGTAGATGTTATCAGCTTTTACTTTAGTTGGTAAGGGTAGGTGTGTGTGCGAAGAGTGTACTAACAACACAACTCATTTATGTGTATCAAGAGAGAAAATCCTCTCAACTAAGTTTTCATCTATCAGAAAAATATCAGAGAAAGTCTGGAGCTTCAGACCTTTGAGTTAATTTGTTCATTATTATTCTCTTCTCTAGTTCTTGTATAAAATGCACAACTAATGTATATTAGGCTGGTTTGGTTGGGTTTCTCCGGTTTTGAAAATAAAATTAAAACCGGCGGATCAGTTGGTTTTTGAGTTTGGCCGATGAGAAGGAGATTAAAATTTAAGAATCTTTCCAACTTTGAAAAGAAAAGCATTTTCATATCAAGAATAAAATTCTGTAGATGGTGTAGTGCTAATTTTAATTATATATAGTTGACGAGGTGTGCTTCTTAGAGCATCCACAGTGGAAGGGTGTAAATTCGGGGATGTAAAGCCACTCTTACATCCCTTTTACACCTCCGGGGGGTGTAAATATGTTTTTTGCTCCAGTGGGGGGGTGTAAATTCGGAGGTGTAGCCGTGGGTCCCAGCATTTTATGTTGACTTTTCTTCATTTTTCTTCTCTTTTCTCAGGTGGGTCTCGCCTGCAAGGGATGTAAAAATAGATGTAAATATACATTTTATTTTACATCCCTATGGTGGTGATGTATATTTTCATTCATTTACATCTCCCCATTGGAGACGATTTCGGTGACTCGGGGTGTATATTTAACATACACAACCCCCCCCCCAACTGTGGATGCTCTTAGCAGCACTTCCACGGGGAGGGGGGGGGGGGGGGGGGGGGGGGGGGGGATGTGGTTTCCAGCAACAAGGGCAAACAGTGGGGCCCACAAGCCCGAGGGGAAGGCTGGCCAGCCCGCGGGCTGGGATGACGTCAGCGCACTGACGTCACGATGACGTCAGCGTAGCTGTTTAAATTTTTTTAAAGCTGGCGCGTGCAATACACGCGCCCGGTTTAAAAAAAATTTGACGCGCGCTACAGTAGCCGCACCAACGGCTTGAATCCACGCGTCGCATGCTGGGCCATCCGATCTGCTTTTCAAACTTATCCAACGGCAGCCATTTTTTCGCGAATAAAAAAATCCGAAAAGCAACCCCCAACGGCTCTATGCCACGTGGAAGCTCCTGGGCTCTCCGATTGGGTTTTTCCAGCAATCCAACGGCAGGGAATTTTTTGCCCAGTCAAAAATTGAAAACAAATCGGAAAAAATTTAAAAAAATACGAAAAAAATACTGAATTTTTTTTTCTATAAATACCAACCAATACTCTTCACTTTTAACACCAACAACCATTATTTTTGTAATAAAAAATTGAAAAAAAATACCAAAAAATTACTTATTTTTTTTCTCTCTATACCTTATTTCCATTTTCAACATTTAAGTAAATGTCTTTGTCCTTTTACTTTTATTTATTTTTATATTACTCCATTTACTTAAGTTTACAATGTAAATAAGGAAGTACCCCCCATTTGGATTCAAATAAAAATACTAGAAAATCAAATTCCCACCAAATCAAAATATGAAAAATCGTTTTTAGTGCAAAATACGATTTAGGCTAAAAATGATGGCTCATTAAGTCAATATATACTTCATATTAAAATCCCATAAAATCAAGTTTTCTTATTTGATGTGTAAGGAATAAAAGCCGCCAAAAATTTTCTTGAGAAAATGATTATTTTGAAAAACCATTTTTCATACTTAGTCAATATTGCACCTCCGCTAAAAATCTTGAGAAAATGATTTTTCATACGTAGGAACCCAAAAATCTTATCCGAAAATATTATACAAATTAATTGTTGAAGTAAACAAAGTTGTGAAAAAAACAAAAAAAATGAATAGTATTTGCCATGGCAAGCCTTGCATTGCTGGAAACACAAATTTTTTTTTGCCCTAGGGCAGCCACTATTCATGTGAATAGTACCCGCCCTAGGGCTCCCCTTGCCATGGCAAGGGGCTAACTGGTGGAAGTGCTCTTAGTGAGTTAGTCTGTTTGAGTATTTGAACAATGAGGAATGCTATTTACAGCTCATCGAACTCGCTATACACGTGTCTCTCTACTCATGGTTTCCAAGTTGGGCATTAAAATAGTATAGAGTTGATTGTACGTACCAATGTTATCTCTCTTCTTTCTTTTGTTCTTTATTTTTCTTTCCTTTCTTTCTCTCTCCTCACTCTTTCCAATTTTTAGGTAAATACCACGAAGTGTCCTACACTTGAAGGATGGGATTAATCTCCACTCGGAGTTCGACTTGCTCCTGGCCACAAAGCGCTTCCAACGGGTTTCGAACCCTGCCATTTGAGACATCAGGTAGCTCGCCAATTGGAAGTGCCAGTTTATCAATCGCAACCACGCCTTGTGATAACATGTTTCCAATTTTTCCCCTTCGTTTATCCTTCTCTCTCTCCTCCTTTGTATCTATTTTTTTTCTCCCACGTTTCCCCTTTTTTCTCTCTCTTTTTTCTTCTTCTAAGTAAAACGGGTATGGCCAGTGGCAGAGCCAAAAATTTATGTGTTGGGGGGCCAACATATAAACCAAACAAGACATTAAAAAATTTCAATCTTTCAACCTTAACAATGTTTGAAAAAATAAAAAGCAGAAAACAAATGTTTATTCAATTAGGTATTAAAATAACACTCGCCGGTCTATCATATCTCGAAAACCATCTATGATTGAGTCAATGCTAAACTTTTCGGCAATTTTCCTTTCAATGTACATAATCAAAGAGTCTGTGAGAAATTGTCACTCATATAAACATATACAAATATATTCTCATAAAAAATAAATAAACAAAGGAAAAAAAAACTATGACTATGTAAAGTTATCTAACTTGGAATTAAAATATTTGAAGCAGGATGTTGGAGTGCAAGCAATAGAATTCAATTATTTCCTTTTGATGTGTGCGAATGTTTCAAACTAAGTTCATATTGATAAAGGAGATTTTTTGAAACTTTATTTGATTGGATGTTTTTATTTTTCATTAATATATTGGTGGACTCTAAAATCACTTTTAGTCTTTCTATTTTGTGAAGAAATCACCTAGTCTTTTACTTGTAAAGAGGAATACATCTTTTCTTTACTGTGAGGGAGCCACAAACAATAATTATTATATATACTTCCTATACCAATAGAAAGCAAAGACCAAATATTAAATTGTGTCAAAATTTTGGACGTCCCAGGCCCCTTCAGGCCTTAACAAGCCTCCGCCCCTGGGTATGGCCAACCAGCAATAAGAATTTTGCACCTCATGAACAACCCAACTGTACGCAGAAGAAACTTGCTATAGATGTTCACTCAATTTTATGGGCTTTACTCTCTCTCTCTCTCTCTCTCTCTCTCTCTCTCTCTCTCTCTCTCTCTCTATATATATATATATATAACTGTACGAAGAAGAAACTTGCTATAGATGTTCACTCAATTTTATGGGCTTTATTCGTTCTCTCTCTCTCTCTCTCTCTCTCTCTCTCTCTCTATATATATATATATATATATAGGATTAATCGTTTTATTAGTCTCTAAACTTAGAATCGATCACTTGAGTCCCTCAATTTCCAAAATGGTTCCCATGGTCCTTTAACTTCACTTTCGTTAGGACAAATGGTCCTACCGTCAATTTTGTTAACCTTTTTATATTAAAACCAAAAAATGAATAAAAAATCATATCTTTAAAATAATAATAAAATCAAATCAAATAAAAAACCAACAAAAAAAAATTTCAAGTTTGAGGGGAGTAGATATCGGGATAGTGGGGAATAGAGAGAGTTTAATTTTAATTTTTTAGTTTTTTTAATTTTTTATTCATAGTTTAATCAATTTAATACAAAATACCATTTTGCCCTTGCATTTAACATAAAAGTTAACAAAATTGACAGCAGGACCCTTTGTCCTAACAAAACTGAAGTTGAAGGACTACGGGAATCATTTTAGAAATTGAGAGACTCAAATGCAAATCGGGTTTAAATTCATGGACTAATAAAACGATATATATCACTTAAATTTTGTGATATAAGTTTAGCATAAAGTTCTGCAGTGAGGAGGGCCATCGATGGGTGAAATCCAAATTTTTTGCCTGTAGTGCAATTATAGACAAAATGGATAGAGAAACCGCCCCAAGCAAGTCAGGTAGAAGAAGAAAAAAAGAAAGAGGAGAGAAAGAGAAGGGGTAAACGCGGGAGAAGGGAAAAAAAACACAGAGAGAGAAGAGACACGTGGATAGCGAATTCGATGGCATTCGCTTTTGAGCGATTGTGGATAGCATTCCTCTTTGAACGATAGTTGGATAAGAGGGAGGCAAGGCTTCAGAGAGATGCAAACGTCATTGTCGAGGCAGTGTTCGCAGGTGGGAGCAAAAGGTCAAGCGTTTACTTTGACCTACTTAGTATGTGAATTATTGGTGGTGGTTAGGAAATTGGTGGGGAAATTCTTATTAAATATCTAGAGCTTTGGAAGTATCTTCAAAGATAAGTCAGTTGAGGCAATCTAATGGCAAAAACGCTCTATAAATAGTCCCTCGTAAGAAGATGAAAAGACATCTGACTCAACACACAAAATCTATCTTTTCATACTGCACCTTTCAATTTCTAGTTTAAGATTTATCTTCAAGCACTTTAGATCATTCAAGTTCTTCATTTTCCTAGTGTAACTGTGTAAGCTTATTTCTTGCAATTTACTTTCTGTTGTCTTTAAATTCAAGTTTAATTCCAATCTTTATCGCTTTAATTTATATTTTTATCGCATTTACATTATTGTCATTTTGTTTCTTGCATTTACAAACTTATCACCAAAATCCTAAAATTAGTCATACAAAGTTCAGAGTCATGGATCCTTCGGTATATGAGGCGGCAACATCGGGCGATGTGGATTTATTCAAAAAGATTATAGGTGGTTATGAATTACCAGATGTTCTTTATAAGAAAACACCCAAAGAAAGTAATGTTCTTCACATTGCAGCTGAATTCAAGCAAATAAAATTCTTCAATGACATCCCACTTGAATATGGATCTTCACTGTTTTGGGCGACCAACAAGAAGGGTGACACTCCACTGCACGTTGCTGCCAAAGTAGGATGTGTTGAAGTAGTTGAGTTCCTCATTGAACATGCAAGGAAAATGCATCACATGGAAAAAGCTGACGAGGAGAGCGGACCAGCTGATGGTGAATCTCAAAACAAGTTACTCCGAGTGAAAAACTCGGATAACGACACAACGTTGCATCTTGCTGTTAGATACAATCACGATGAAGTTGTAATTCGGTTAATGGAAGCCGATCCCCAATTGTGTTGTTTCACTAATAACGCAAATGAGTCGCCCTTGTTCCTAGCTGTTAGAAAAGGCACTCCAAGCATTGTTCATTGTATTCTGAAGGCGTACGAGTCTGGCGTTTCTCCTTCTTTTCAGGGAACAAACGGATTGACAGCTTTGCATGCCGCAGTGACTCAGAAACAACTCAAAGACAAAGGTACATGAACATTGCATCACCTAATGAAATGTGTTGATTTTATATTAGGAGGATTTTATTTTGGTGGAAATTTTCACTACCTCTCACCTCTTTAGTTTTTCCTATATCAACATGGTAGGCTTTGTCGAGATTCTGGTGTCCAAAAACAGTGACCTAATCAAAGAAGTTGATGATATTGGATGGACTCCCTTGCACTACGCAGCATTCACAGGGAACGTTGAAGCTACTCAACTACTGATGAAATCTGATAGTTCTGCTTCTTATATCCTGGACTTATCAGAAATGTCAGCTCTCCATGTTGCAGCCTATGCAGGCCACACCAAAGTGATGGAAGAGTTAATTCGATATCAACCTGATACTTGCGATTTGCTTAATTCAAAAGGCCAAACGGTTCTTCATTCTGCAATTTTAGGTGGACAAAAAGGGGTGGTTAAGTACATATTAAGGACGCCTAAACTTTTCACGGGACTTATTAATGAAGCTGATGAAGACGGAAACACTCCTTTGCATATCGCTGTTATTTACAAGAAAGTAGAAATTATCTTCATTTTGACGGCCGACCATAGAGTGGACAAGGCTGCTGTCAATAAAAAGTTCTCAAAAGCCATTGATATTTTCCATGGTCAAATTAGTAAAGAACAGGTACACAATACAGGTCCACACACACAAATTTTTGTTGTTGATGTTTTGTTATTTTGGTCAGAAGTATAGCTCAGTATTTTGATCCTTGCATATGAAGGGACTAATTTGCACCAAAATCAAGTTCAAGAATCACTAACAAAGCAAAGAATAAGGATGCTTTAATCACGTTTTAAGGAGTCATAAACTTGTATTTAGTTTGAAATGGTTTGAATGTGGATCAAACTTCAGACAAATTTAAAAAAACTCAGTTTCGCCTGATCTCCCACATTTTTTTTATTGGATTAATTGGGGAGGTGAAATTATTTTTCTTTTTTCTGTTTTGAAAAGGATCTATTAACAAGTTTACTCTCTCTCTCTCTCTCTCTCTCTCTCTCTCTCTCTCTCTCTCTATTGTTTAATGAAACTATTGACAGTCCGGTTTTGCACCAGTTGGAGTCCTGCGTGGGTGGTCCATTTTTCCAACAAAAAATCAGGGATGATTTCAACAAACCGGAAACTTCAGAGAAGGATACGCCCGGCACATCGGACAGTGAACACAAGAGGCAAAACCGGCGATCTACTTCCAATCTAGTGGTGACAACGCTTATCGCAACCGTCACTTTTGCAGCTGCTGTAACCCCTCCCGGTGGATTTAAAAGCGACGGGACATCGGTTCTATCTGAAAATCGTTTTTTCAAACTATTTCAGATTTTCAACCAGATATCCTTCATGCTCGCAATTCTTGTGATCTATATCTAATCAGCTGCAATAAGTTTCCAAATAGCCACACCTGCAAGTCTGATTCAGTTTTCCATTGGAGGGTTGCTGCTAGCATTTATTTTCGCCACGGTTACAGTGCAGCCCAAACACCAAAGAATAGATTCAGGTGAAAAACCCTTCGCAAGTGCAAGTCCGTCTGATATTGTTCTCAGTGTAATTGGTATGTTGCTGCTGCTATTTGCTTTGATCCCTGTGTTTACGACTGTGCGTCGAAAATTGAGGGAGAAACACATAGCCAAGTCCTTACTCTAAGTGATTTTAAGTTATTTATGGAGAAACACATGTGAGATGTTTATTTTGAAAATTACTTAAAATCATTTAAAATGATTATATAATGAAACATGTAAGAGATGCTTCTCTCCCAAACAGGCCCTTAGAAGTTCATGATAAGTCTTTTTAGTTTTTTAGTTTTAGTTTTCCTAATTAGTTTTAATAAGTGTTTCTTATTGGTTTCCTGATCATAAGTTATGTCAACTTTTATTTGTTGTGCTTTCTTTTTGTTTTACATTGCTTTAGGTTTTTATTCATAATTCAGTATAATTGGTTCTAGGTTTTTATTTATTTGGCACCAAATCTTTCGTATTTGTATTTAATTAGTACAAGGATCCAAAAAAAATCATATATTATTGTAGGCATTTTTTAATACAAATGATATTGAATGAGGAAGAATCGAACTTAGGACCTCATGTGCATAGATAAATTCTCCTAAACTACTTAAGCCCTTGCTTGTAGTTGACTAACGATATTAATGGAATGCATAGGCAAGGACTAACGATATTAATGATCTTGTCAACATTTCATTAACTAACTATATATAAAGAAAAAGAATGAAATGTGAAAAGAAAAATAATGATCTTGTCAATATTTCATTTACTAAGAGCATCTCCAACAGTAATAGTAAATCGAACTCTTAATTGAAGTTTGTTGACCTACGTGGCAATTTGAAAAGCTTTTGGCCCGTTTGATAACCATTTCAATTTTAGTTTTTAGTTTTCATTTTTTGTGCTAGAGTATAGAGGATAAAAAGAGAGAATGGAAGTGAGAATGAAAAGGAAGATGTTGACGTGAGTCTCCTAATTAATCAAGAAGATTTACTTCCTTGATTAATTAAGGGATTTACTTTCCTAATTTTATAAAGTTGATAAATCATTGTTTAATTAGAAGATATTTTCCTAATTCTTTACTGTATCTAATTCCTTGTAAGACTCTCATATAAACTTCTATATATACCTCCTTATGGAGAAGAATAAAATTCAACCCAAATATTCAAACCTAATATCATATTTTAGCAGAAGATGGGATTGTTATTGGTTTCCTCAACATAACTTATGGTGTTTTTTTGTTTTTGTTTCATATTTGTTTAGAGCATCCACAATGTCCCAACAAAAGCATACATTATTAAGCGAACTCATACACTAATGAGCCCAAACAACTTTTTATTTTTATTTTTATTTTTTATAATTAGATAGGAAAATCTCATTCATCACTATCACCAAACAAACGATAAAAGTTTACAGACGAACGGAGGGCGCTAATGTGGCCTCATTGAAACCTTGCCATCAAAACCCACCAATGGAGGAAAATCCGGTTAAGGGAAAAGAGTACGACCGTACCTCAATAATGCAGACAAAAATCTACACCATAGTTCTATCCTTATCTAACAGAAAGCTCTGTCAAGCTCTGGAACGATTTATCAGAATAGAAGATGGGAGGAGATGGAGGAATGGGGTTCGAAATTACAGAGGTTTCAGAGATGAGAGATGAAGCTTGCTCTCTGAATGCGTGTTTTTGATGGATAGGAGATGGCATGACATCTTCTGTGTACTAAATATAGTACTCTCTCCCTCTATGTTCAGGAAATTATTAACAGTCCGTTTTTGCAACACTTGGGGTCTTCTGTGGGTGGTCCATTTTTCCAACAAAAAATCAGCAATGATTTCAACAAATTGGATCCTTCAGAGAAGGATACGCCCGGCACACCCGCCATTGAACACACCAAAAGGCAAAACCCGCAAGCTACTTCAAATCAGGCCTTGAAAAGACTTTATACCAAACTAGTGGTGACAACACTTATCGCAACCGTCACTTTTGCAGCCTCATTAACCCCTCCTGGAGGATTTAAAACCGACGGCTAGCCGGTTTTGTCGGAAAATTCATTTTTCAAAGTTTTTCAGCTTTTCAACCAGTTATCCTTCATGCTCGCAATTCTTGCGACTTATAACGAATCAACTCCAATACGTTTCCTGTCCATCGAAATAGCCACACCTGCAAGTCTCATTCAGTATTCCATTGGAGGGTTGCTGGTAGCATTTATTTCGGCCGGGGCTGTAGTGGCGCCCAAAAGCGCGTTAAGAATTTCGTTTAAAGAACCCTTTAACCATACAGGTCTATTCGATACTTTTCTTGGTATAGTTGGTGCGTTGGTGATAGTACTTGCTTTCATCCACGTGTTAAGGGCTATACTTCAAAAATTGAGGCAGAAATACCGGGCCTTGCCTCAACCGCATCCTCGTATCTTAGAAGAGTGAAGACTTTTTTGTTCTTTTTCTAATTAGTTTTTCCGAGGTATTTTTACACAGTTTCTTATTGGTTTCCTGATCATAAAGTAATTTTTCTTTAGTTTTTCCGAGGTATTTTCACCAGTCAAAATGAGAGTCAAGTGCATTTTCTTTTAACTCAGCAGCATTAGATGGTTCTAATGGGGTTGCAACTTGCTTGGCTCACTATGCTCCGTACTCCCAGGGAGTGGCGGAATGGGTTACTGATCCACTAGATTTTCTACATGATGTTTTGTTCATTCATGCTATCTAATTATTTCTAGTTTTGTACTTCTTCGGCATGTGTAACATGCCCATTTTCCCACTTTCTATAATGGAATGAAATATACCTATTTAAAAAAAAGCATTATATGGTTCTAGTTCCAAGAAAATCATATTATTGTAGTTGACTGTTGATAAAAATAGGTGAATATTAATTACCAATAAACCTAATTTATTAAGCACCAGCTTAAAGACTTTTTCATCTTAAGTCGTTTCACACACAGATCCATAATGTATTAATTATAGCAAGGACTAACCTATTTCATTGACTAACTATATATTAAAAGAAAAATGAAATGTAAAATTACACAAAACCCCCTCTGGACATTCAAACTTTTGTTTTGATAATGTCAATGGCAGGAAAATGAGGTTGGCAATGGCAAACCGTGTGAGATTTTAATCATAGGGGACAGCGTGTGTGGTCCCCTTGAGTGCTTGTTTTTTTTTGGTCGAAACACACTTTCATTACTCAAGTTGACTGCAAGACATTTTGAGAGAGAAGGAAGTACTTGAGCTATAGATACTTTCCTGGCTACATATATATGACGTAGGGACAGAGAAAAACAGAGATTTTGACAACCATGGTACTTAATTAGAGATCTCTAGTAGGGGTGGGCATTGGGACCAGAAAACCGGAACACCGAATCGAATCGGTGAAAAAATACCGGTTGACCAAAAAAGTCAACAAACTGGACCTGTTCCGGTTCCGGTTTTACACCACACCACCCCAAACCAGACCGGTCATATATATATATATATATTTACAAAATTTTAAAATCTAATGCCATATTTTAAATTTTTAATCACTATTTTTCCAAGTTCAACTTCAAAAAAAAAAATTAATGTACGAATTGGATTATTTGTTAATTTTTGAGCCAAAAAAATAAGTTATTTATTATAAATTTTTTTAAAAAAATTTAAATTAATAATCCAGTTCAAAATTAGAACCGGTCAGAACCAAACTGGCCAATTTTTGAAATTTTTTTTGCCTAAACCGGACCGATTAAATAGTACCGATTCCGATTTGAGGTGAGAACCGGACCGCGCCTACCCCTAATCTCTAGAGCACAACTTGTAGCCCCTCAATTCCATTGGTGCCTTCTCGATTGTGCTTGTTTGATAATTTAAGGTAGGAGAGGGAGTTCACATCCATGGATCCTTCCCTCTATGAGGCGGCAATAACCGGAGATGTTGGATTCTTAAGAAAAACTAGAGGTAGCAGTTTGTCAAATCGTGTTCTTGAGTTAATTGGAACAATCATAAAATTTCAATTAGCCATACCTACAAGTACAACTCTCATTCAGTATTCCATTACTTGGATGGTGATGGCATTTTTTTGGGGCATGTTAGCAGTGATGTCGGAAGCAGGCAAAGTGAGCATGTATCTGGAGAAAAGAAGAAAGCCTACAGCCAAGTTCAAATAATTTAATGGCACTATTTTGTTGTGTCTACATTATTATGTTTCATATGTATAAGTCAGTCTCTGTAACAACATTATTATGTCTGGAATTTTCAGCTTGGCATTTGTATCTCTTGATCCAATATGACGTGGATCTTACAATTTACATTCTACTTACATGGTCAACGAATCAGTGTGTGACATGCTTTGCACTGCTTCCAAAATTGGTATTTGAAGATTGGGGGATCAACTTACATTTGTAATTATAAGCTTCCCAAACCTGCAAAAATGATTCACAAATAAGTCTCCATGCCTGCACCCTCCTGCTGCAGGATACTATGGATGTGTATATAACAAAAAGGATGTCTTGAATACATGGTGAGATACCTCAGCCCGGTCGACAGTAACCCCCATGCTTTTCATATGCCGATTGCTTGTATAAGAGGATCAACAATCTACCCTCCTTGCACAATGTTCTTGATTGAAGGTCCAGTTTGATGAAAAAATTTGACAGATTCAGATTTAAGTGTCTCATTACCCCCCTATTGCAGGAGTTGGACTGGCGATAGATAACCTCAATATGAAAGTAAGATATAAAACATTTTAAACATAAAATGTTATAAGCAGTCAAATTGTCCACAAAGATATAAGAAAAGGTTGAACTCACATTTCGGGCAATTTTCAGAATACACAGCATCCCATATCCTTCTCGGTGATGGACCAGCATAGCCAGTGTAACGTTCAGGGTTCAAAAGAAGGTTCACATATGTCATCTCACCTTCAGATTGAAAGTCAAGTCAATCGTTACAAAATATTATTAAAAAGAACAAACCTTTTAGTACAAGAATACAGCAGGTGAAAGACATGAAAATAACAAATAATAAACATAAAAACTGAGGTAGTGTTTACATTCAGGAACCATTTACGATATCATCAGTCATGAACCTGACATTCAACCAAATTGCGGGGTACAAGCAATGAAAAAACAAGTTTGTGAATTTAAATGTACCACTTCACAACTAAACCATATCTAAATGCTTTCTAATTGAAATGCCAAAAGACTCCAGCTTCCGACAGACAATAGCTTAAGAACTCGAATACAGCGAATACTATGCAACACACAGTCCATGACATATATTGTAAATTACCATTATCCGTCTCATCATCATTTGTCCAAGGATTATCTGTCTCAACCCAGCCTCTGAAAGCTCTACTGTCTAGCGTCCGCTCAACAGTCCCCTGCCGCTTTCCCTCTTTACACACAAAACTGTCAGGTGCAAGGCCCTGGAGCAAGGGCCTCTTAAAAGGTTCTGGAAATTCATTTTCTGGGCATTCACAGATGCTGCAGTCACGCAAGAGGCACATACCATCTTCGGTCCAAAAGGGACAGTCACACCACAGCTTGGCCTATCATTTGAACCAAGTAAATTAGCCCCCAAAAGGTAAAAACAAAAGTACAACATCCTCCCTAAGTCACCATAGCCATCTAAGAATGTGTTCAAAGTAAAGAATTCATGTGACTGCTCACAAGATAAGGCTAATCCCTTGAATGCTTGCTTGGATTGAAAATTTAAAATTACCAACAGCCAAAAAGAAATATTCAGTAGCATAAAATAAATAAGAGGGCACAACAGAAGAGACCTTGAAATATCTGAAAAATGGAGTTTTAACAATCTCTTGTAGCAGAGGGTGCAACACTTCTGCATTAACAATGTCCACTGTTTCATAATCACAACAGCAATCGTCCACAATGTCTGTGTACCCTTTTGAATCCTACACATAAAAATAAACAAATAAACCAAAAAAAAAAAAAAAAAGAAGAAGATTATTATTATAAACTTCTAAACAAGCATCAAATGAGGAACAAACTTTGACTGGAAACAATCTAATCTGATGGACAAACAAACACAAAATTCAACCACATGCATTTTAACAGGAGAGAGAATTGGGGTTGATCAGTACCTGAGGACAGAGGCGGGAATTGGGGTTCTTGAAAAAGAGAGAGAGGTTGAGTTTAGAGGCAGTTCTTGTGGAGGTGAGTGCTGTGGCTAGCAACACCACCACCACAGCACCCAAAAAAGCTGCCCCTCTCTTGCTTTTTTTCTCATTCCTGTCCTTCACCATCTCCAATGCCACCAAAACCTCCTAAAATTGGTAAACATTTACTCTGGGGGTTTATTTGTCTTAGTCCTTTTGGTTTTTGAAACTTCATTTCAATTTAATAGCAAACCCCACAGTGCAGAGGAGAGGCAGAGACTTGGTTGCGCGCCAACGCTCAATGAAGTGAATTGGGTGATTGACACCTGGGCGGGTGGGATTGGAAGGTGTTTTGGACTCTGCTTTTGTGCGAGTGTGAGGTGTGCTGTATGCGAGCTTGGTTTTCTTAATTTGTCAAAGTCAGTTTGGGTAACTTGGTCATTTGTGACGTGCTCGGGCCAATGGTATATAATTCCCTTTCATGTATATATATATAAGAGAATATTAAATATTTGCTTAAATATTTATGAAGGAAAATAACCGAATCAAATGGGTCACTAAATAGATATAGTTTTGTCTAATTCACTAGATTATTAGTTTGAGGCCTGAACGAACGAAAACAAAATGGGATGTTCAAATTGATTTAGTTGCTGTTTGAGGTCTAAACCGAACCAAAATTAAGAACACTCCCACCCACCCCTAACTTCTATGAGGCAGATTGAATGTTTAAATTAAAAACATGTCTATTTGTAGGTCTGATCAAAAGTCACTTTTATTCCCTATAGTTTGGCACTTCAATAACTTTTGACCCTATATTTTTAATTCTGTTAATTTTGTCATTATAATTTCGTATTTGTTGCAATTCAATGAAAATTTAGTATTCTTGTTTATTTCTTTGACTGTGCAAGGGGCAATTTCGTCAACCCAAAATCCTTGAGCGTAGACGCTCATATGAACCTCTCTTCATTTCATATTAGGGTTCGAAATTCAATCGCTAATCCCAATTTTTGAAGAACCCTAAACCCAAATGGCCAATTTCATGCCCTAATATGAAATGGTGAGAGTTTCATACAAGGTTTTACGCTTAAGGGTTTTGGATTGACGAAATTATTTCTCATCAAACCTTTTCTGCAAACCAAACAAGGCCTTATGGCCAATGGTTAGGCAACCAGCTCACATGCTCTTTTCCACAATGCCACATTATATTTGTGTTCGTCAACAATTTTTATGCATAATTTCATTCATATATAGAAAATTACTTAAAATGGCTGGCCAAACCCAGAAGGCCTGCCCAATTCAAAAACCCAAAAAGACAAACAAGAAATGAGGCAAAAACCCTAGCAAACAAAGATGGAGAGGAACCACACCATTTCCTCCCGTTCTCTAAAATGATACATACCAAGTTATATAGTGCTTGTTTCACATGCACAGCAGCATTTTCAGAGAGTATATACTTTTTCTTTGCCTGCAGCAGTACTTGTTTAATATTATTCAATGGCAAATTGGGTTTCTTTTATTTCAAAGATTTCTTTTAAATGATCTTCAAATACTAATTTTTATTTATTTATTTTGGTTTGAAACTCTCTGCCCATTTAAATTATGGTTAGTTGAGTTCTGCAACTGAAATAACTATAAACCAAGTGGCATATGAGAGGCATCTGCAGGTAATGTACCTGATAATTATTCCTCTGGCTTGATGGTGGGTTTAAACTAATTAATTAATTAATTAAGCATCTTTATAGTTGATGGGCGTCTCAATTATTGGATTCGAAGATGTTGATCCCCAGTTAATTACTAATTAATAGGATCTAAGTGAATGATTAGGAGGAGTTTGTAAGCATGATAAACAAAGGTAGTTGAAACATGCATGTGCCAAAATTATGAGAGCGAGCAAGAAGAAATTAAAGCAACAAAATATTTATGAGCATATTATATAGACTAAAGTATATAACTATATGAGGAATGGGGCCAATTTGGCTGATACATTGTATGTTTGCATCATCAGTTTCCTTCTTTTGCATAAATGCTGCTGTACATGCATGCACCTTGTTGTATACAATTTGGAAAATATAAGAGAGTCTAATTACTACTACCATATTTGAAAAGCTTGTGCTTTGTTTTTTTGGTTGGGCCTGGATGATATGATGAAAGGAACAATGTAGAGGTTGGTGTAGTAGGTTATGTACATAAATGTTTTATAAAATCACACACCTACTGGACTATGCAAGTGATTTAGTTAGAGACAATATTGATGTTGATAGTAGTGGATTGTAGGTCCGCCTTTCTGAGGGCTTTTAAGAAAATAGTTATAATTAGCTCATTGATGTAATTAAGTTAAATCAATATGAATTGCGTAATCTAGTATGATTCATATCTTGCTATCGAAGTAAGAAGTAAAAACTTCATGAAACATTGTAATCTAACATGCTATGTTATGTTATGTTATGTTGTTGATTATCAATTTGAGCCATGTACATTTAAAAGACAACTTGATTGATCAAATTCAGAATGCAAAATAAAATTTTCCGAGATCTCAACACTTCAATTTTCTCTCCTATCTCCCTTTCATAATTTGTTGGGCCTCATCATCAGTGGCGAATCTAGTAAGGTACCAATGAAGGTACTAGTCCCTACTCAATTTCCTATGAAGGTGCCAAGTTATCATGATATCTTCTATTGAATGGAGGCAAACTGTTTGATATAATGCCTCAAAGAAGACTAAGGTAGGGTAAAGGAGTGGCTGAGACTTGGACTGCATTAGGCAAAGACTTTACCGACTCTATAAATTCTTGTCCCCTAATGAAAAATTCATGAATTCGACTTTACCAACTCTATAAATTCTTGTCCCTGATGAAAAATTCATGAATCCGACAATGCTCCTCATTATTCTTTAAGGGACCAAAAACACTTGTATACATGTCAAACTCAAGCAGATCCTATGGACACTCATTGTGCCATGTCTAACTCACTAAACATCATGCAAAGAAAATAAAAACTAGAAAACAACTGACCGAGAGTGAGAGAAGGCATGCCATGTGTTGGCACATGCATTTGCCACATGGCCCTACTAATTTGCACTTAAGAAAATTAATTAAGCCCAGTACGTAAAATCCCAGAGGATCCTGGACCTACACCTAGTGATGCCATTTTGTTGGTCAAAATTCTAGGATCAAGGAAAACGACATCTCAAATTTTTCACAAAAAGAGAAATTTCTTCGTGGCATGGCTAAGAAATAAAGCTTGTTCCAACTTGGAAGTATTCTATATTCTAAAACAATTTTTATTGTTGGGGTCTTGAAATTTTTATTATCTTTATAAATGATTTGATTGGTTATTCCAATTAACGGTAATTTGATAGCTGGATTTATAAGGAGTATTGTGACGTGCCACCAACTTACAGAAAAATTTAAAGAAATTAAGCAGTCAACACAACCAACTACATATACCTTATTACATGTTTCTTCAAGCATTGAAATTTCTTGTTTAATCCAACGACCGAACTTTTAAGTTTAGAAATGTTCGCTTAACCGTTTCAGTATTTACATGGTTACACCTCAATATACATTGAAATGTATCTTACTCAATAAATTTCTCGAGGGCCGATCGAACCACCATAATAAGGGCAGCAGCTCAAATTCAATCTCTCTGATCTCGAGAGAAAGGACATGAACATTATTTCTCTGCCTGCAGTATTATTGGCATCACTCAATACCAGTTTGGAAGGTGAAGCCATTATTGGATGAATTATTATATAAAAAAGAAAACAAAATTCAATCCGTCATAATTTTATATGTTTCAGAAAATTAAATATGGGAATTGAAATTAGGAGTCAAATGCGACTGAGTTATTATTGAGTGGTGTGAGCGACAATGTAGGGCCAGTGTTGAGCACGTGGCAGACAGCATTTCCTCTTCATTTCCACGTGGGTCCCAGCCCTAGGAGTGAAGAAGTCATATTGGCCCATCACATGGGGCCATGCATGGCCTCCTATTTACCATTTCTATATATATTTTTGGTACGTACTTTGCCCTATATAAAGATATTAAATAGTCAGCAGTGATCAATTAATTAATCTTAGATTGGCAGAGATTAGAAGGTTCCAGTTACGTTCTTGTTATTTCACTCACAAAGGCAAAAGTCTGCTGCAGCCCACACGTTAAATTTAATCTTCATTCTGAAATTTTCACATGAACTCCACTCTTTTATTTTCAAATATTCAAAAGCTATTAACAATTATATAGAACAATAAGGATGTTTTTTTATACAACGATATTGGGGGAGAGAGGTTTTCTTACACACTGTTAAGGTGCGATAGGGGTTCGAACTTGAAACCAATTATATACAAATCAATGTCATTTTCTACTCGTAAGGACGCTATATAAGTGCATTACTAATCGAAAGCATGATATAATCCTTTTACACGCTAGACATTCACTAAGATATTTGCAATCTTTCTAATACAAATAAATTTTGTAAGAGACAGATATCATTAGAAACTTCAAGAGAAAACTCCTTAGACTTTTACTTTCTGGCCTGATTATATTCCTCTCTTGATATATGCATGCATGCATCCTTCCTTGATGGACCCATGTAAGACGCCCATGCCCTCCTCTACCTTAAGCTTGTTGACTAAGCATGCTTTAGCTAAGCTAGTTCTTATCCATTTCACCACCCCAAATCTAAAGTTGTAGAATCCCGAGGCCAAAAGGAACTTGTGGTGGTAACTTTGAACATAATTCTAAATTCAGAATCCAGCTTTCAAAAGTACTGCCATTTGGTGTTGTAATAAAACCATTGGTGGAAACCGACCTACCCTTGACAAACACGAATTAATAACCAGAAAAAAATTCATTGATCGCCATGAAAATGGAAAGAAGGAAGGAATCGTAGGACCAACAAAGTCATGACTAATTTAACGTGCTTACGTACCTATTATTCACACACAGCCGACTTGATTAGATTTATAAATTAGATCCCTATAAGGCTATATATAGCACCAGCCGTTTGTCTCAGACTCTCTACTTGTTAATTCTTCTTTTTTAAATCTTCATTTCACACCCTTCGGTATAACTCTTTGTCAGCAGGTGCCTTCAATTCTTCAACCCACCATCCTACTCATTCACACCCTCCATTGCATGGGCTTTTGCTCCTCTACGATTACATTATGTGTAGGAATTGATTGATGGTTTTCCCACCTAGAATTCCTTTTGTTGTTTGTGAATAACTATACTACGAAATCCGTTATTAATGTATTGTTAGATTCATATGCATCGAGAGTTGATAAAGTCGTTTTTCGTAACACATAAAAGTCAATACTATTTATAACGAGCTTTCTTCGTAGCACATAGAATTGATAAGGCACTTTCTTTGTTGTTGGGATTTCTATTCATAACGAACTAGATTTCCTTCTTTTTCTTCTTGAATAAATTCCAATTCCCTTCCCTATTGAACTTTTTTCCTTTTTAAGTTGATGTTGATATGGAATGTAAATCCAAGTCCCTTTGGTTGGTTCTGATTTGTTAGATACGCAAAATAAATCAAATATGGTATAAGCAGGGGGAGCAAAATCTCATATACAACATGCCTGATTCTTCGTATTCTTTTTTTCTCTTTCATTAACATGCAAATGCTGATCAGTTTAGTCAACCAGTAAACTTCTTAATTTTCTTTTCTTTGCCATATCAATTTCTCTCTCTTCCAGTTTACCACTGCACAGACTACATGCAAATGTTCAGTTGGGTCAACCAAACCACTTAATTAATCCCCCCACAGGCCCTACATACCTTCCCTCTCTCTCTCTCTCTCCTCTCTCTCTCTCTCTCTCTCCTTATAGCCCCCAAGCCCTTCAAATACCAACTTGCATTTCCCATATAATTATCAAACTCTTCACCTCATCAAAGCGCATGCACCACCAACATTTCTCCATCCAGCAGCCATGGACGAAGAAACCACCCCCTTCCCGATTTCCGACTACGCAGATCTCGACCTAAGCTTCACCAGTTTCACCTCCTCCTCCACCACCGTCACCGACCGCACCTTCACCACTTGCTGCTCCAGCGCCCGCTCCAGCTTAGCCCGCAGCAGCCTCACCCTCAGCTTCAACGAGTCCCGCCTCTCCACCACCTCCTCCACCGCCACGCCAACCGCCACAACTTCCCCCCTCAACCACCGCAAGTGGGACCCCCACTGGTCCGCCATCAAAGCCGCCACCGCCCTCTCCTCCGACCGCACTCTCCACCTCTGCAACCTCAAGCTCCTCCGCCACCTCGGCACCGGCAACCTCGGCCGTGTCTTCCTCTGCCGCCTCCGCGACGACCACCGCGACAACTCTGACGCCGCCACCTTCGCCCTCAAGGTTGTCGACAAGGACTCCCTCACACCCAAGAAGCTCAGCCACGTCAGCACCGAGGCCGAGATCCTCTCCATGCTCGACCACCCTTTCCTTCCCACGCTCTACGCCCGCATCGACGTCTCCCACTACACCTGCCTCCTCATTGACTACTGCCCCAACGGAGACCTCCACAACCTCCTCCTCCGCCAGCCCCTCAACCGCCTCCCCCTCCCTGCAGTCCGCTTCTTCGCCGCCGAGGTCCTCATCGCCCTCGAGTACCTCCACGCGTTGGGAGTCGTCTATAGGGACCTGAAACCCGAAAACATACTCTTGCGCGGGGACGGGCATGTTATGTTATCAGACTTTGATCTATGCTTTAAAGCAGATGTAAGCCCCGCCGTCCAACACCGTCGTGTTGAAAAGACGGGGCCCACGAGAAGAAAAAATACTCACTCGTGTTTTGGTTCGAGGAGGGAGCACGAAGAGGAAATGGTGGCGGAGTTCGTGGCGGAGCCCACGACTGCTTATTCGAAATCTTGCGTCGGGACCCACGAGTACCTGGCACCCGAGTTGATCTCCGGTAACGGCCACGGCAACGGCGTCGATTGGTGGGCTTTCGGGGTGTTTATCTACGAGCTCCTCCACGGGACGACGCCGTTTAAAGGCGGGAGTAAAGAGAGCACGCTGCGCAATATAGCGGCGAGCAGCGGGGTGAGGTTCCACGTGGTGGAGGGAGAAGAGGAGGGAATGAAGGAGGCGAGGGATTTGATTGAGAGGCTGTTGGTGAGGGACCTAGGGAGGAGGCTAGGATGCGCCAAGGGGGCCACTGAGATTAAACAGCACCCCTTTTTTGGTGGGATTAATTGGGCATTGATCCGGACTTACAGGCCGCCGGAGGTTAATGGGCTTAGAAGAAGGCTCAGCAAGCCCCCTGGAAGCCCAGTGGCTGCGGCTTTGCATAAGAGGAAAAAGTGCTGGTGGAAAGGACTTTGTCATTTTGTGAAAACTAGATGTAACAAGCATAATAACCACAGTAATAGCAATTACTACAAATATTATGTGAGTAGTAAAATGGTGAGGAAAAGTAGTCAAATTTAAATAAAACCCTTTTTTGTTTGTTGTGGGTTTAAGATGAAAAATACTTGTATAAATAGGTTATAAGGAGTCTCGGTGGAGATGTAATTTTGTGAGGCACTTGTGAACTGTTGATATATATAAATCGAAGTCGTACAATGAAGATTCATTTTCAATTTTAGATGTTTGAAGTTTTTAATTTTGTCTCTCATATGAGTGTCATTAGGATATATATGTATATATTAATTTGTTGCTTCCTCAAAATTATTATTTTTTTATCAATAGAGATGAGTGATTCAAACTAAAGGAACTGTTCCAACATTACTTACCCAAAGATCATTTAATAAATTGTGTTGCTTCAATAACTAATAGCCTGCTCTCATTTTATTGCTAACATTCTTGTTTTTCCTTCATCATTTAAATCCCTTTGCTTTTCCAAGTTCCAACCACTCAACTATATTTGAATGGGGAAAGGAAAAAACAAGCTGCAACTTGCAAGAGTCTTTAAGTTGTTGTTGGTTGTCAGGAATTTGGTTTTGGGGACCAGGTAGACCTCTAGACTGCTCCAACTGAGAATCTGTAAATTTGATAAATTTCCTCACAGGACCACATCAGGTTCATAGGATCCTCTACTTGTGCTTAATTACATTATTTATCCAATTGGTACTGATCTAACAGTTTGACATAACATGTAAAATTATTGCATCTTGCTAGCAGGTTAGTATAAATGGTTCAAACCAATTAGTCAAAATCCAGTTACTTTTGCTCAAAACTGGCTGCTGACAGGAAGTTTTCCAAGAAACAATGATGCAATACTTGGATGGAAGAGAAGCTATAGAGATCATGCTTGATAAATTTTGGGATTGGGTCAGAGTGGTGAGCTTTCTTTACAGAGAAAATATTATGCTTCTAAAACCACTCTTAATACAATTGAGGCAGAGCAGATGGTCAGTAAAATGCTAATCATTGACAGAAATCTTTTATTTCTTGAGCAATCCAAGTGAGAGGGCAGATTTCTCAATCAGTATGTAGTAGTATGGCAGAACACACAAAGTTTCTGGCAGATGAAGTGAGCTTCTGGATTATAACTCCATACAACCTGCAAGGTTCACAGTCGTGCAAGCCAATGTCAGCTCTCATAATAATCAGAATAACAAGAAATATCCAAAATAGGACATAAATACAAGTTTCCCTTTGATGGAAAACTTTGGATTTATTTCAATTTCCCAGTGCATTTCATAACTTCTAATCAAAATAAAGCGGACGAAAAAAAGACTTGTCTTCTAACCTTTTGAAGGACCTTCATCTAAAGGAGTCTCAGATGTTGGTGATGATGAGCAATTGCTCACAGACTCCCTTGCATCAATCATCATTGCAATCACCTCCCTCATTGTTGGCCTATTAACTGGGGATGTACTGGTGCAGAACAAAGCAATCTTGAGAAATAGAGTCATCTCTTCAGTTGTCCTTTTCACACTCAGATCAAGCCTCTTGTCAAATATTTCAGATGTTGCCATGGAGTTATTTACTGCCCTTCTCACCCATGTGACTAGGTCTCCGCCCTGCTCCAGTGGTTGAACAGGTGACTTTCCAGTTACTAGTTCCAGCAGAACCACCCCAAAACTATAGATGTCACATTTCTCAGTCACTTTCATTGTGTAAGCATACTCTGAAATGAATTCCAAGGAAAATATACGGTTAGAACTTAAAAGTAGCAAGAAGATTTCTTTTCCTTTCTTCTTCTTGATTCAGTATTAAAAGTTCTCACAGGATCTGTTAAACATCTGATATAATCATAAAAAAGGGAGGGTGAAACTGGGATAAATCAGAGTGAAAACTTAGGATAGAAGCAGGACTGGAAGATACCGGATGCAAGTACTGGTAAAAAGACCAAATCAAGCTATTAAATGAGCTATTGATGCCTAGTACAATATGCAGCAATGACTCGGAAATGAACAGCCAGTCTTTCTTCACTTTAAACATTAGTTAAATCTGCAGGAAGAAATGGTGATTAGGTTTGAGATGATAATCTCGTCTCCCATGATTTTTTGGACAAATTTGAGTTATGCTCAGAATCAAAACTTAATCCTTGATAGATATCACGTATATTGGAATGACTCGAATAGGACAACATTAGCAGTTTGCAGTTTCTTCAATCAGATTCTTAACATAAAAGAGTGTGTTAAGTCAATTCTTACATAGGCTTGTTTCTGATATAAAATAGGATATGCACATTATAGGAGAGGTGTGTTAAGTAACAAACTAATTATTGCTTCAAGGTATTCAGTATGAGTAAGACAAAGAATAGGAGTAGCTCTTTTTCTTACCTGGGGCAATGTAGCCATATGAGCCTGCAACAGCAGACATGGATTTTGAGTATGGGAGTTCAATCAATTTAGCCAAGCCAAAGTCTCCTACATGTGCTTCAAGAACTTCATCCAATAAAATGTTATTTGACTTTATGTCACGGTGGATGATTTGGGGCTTACAATCATAATGGAGATAGCACAAACCCTCTGCTGCTCCAAGAGCAATCTTATACCGAGCATTCCAGTCAAGAAAACATCTTTGTTCATTTCCATGGAGATGTTCTCCTAGACTGCCATTTTCCATGTACTCATACAAGAGAAGATTTGAGTCTTGGTGGTAGCAGAAGCCATAGAGCTTGACAATATTACAATGCCTGATCTTTCCAAGGGTCAATATCTCAGCACGGAAGCTGCTATCGACGCTTACTCCATCTCCTTGTGCCTTGAGCTTTTTCACTGCAATCACCTCACCGTCAGCCATAACAGCTTTGTATACAGTGCCACATGCTCCCTTTCCTATAATTGTACTGTCTGAAAAACTGCTAGTAGCTTCAACAAGGTCCTGGTATTTGAAACCTTCCTTAGGAAAGTAATAGTTGTCTAACACTTCTGGCTTTGTGGGATCTTCAAGTGAAACAAAAGTAGGTCCACGACGCTTCATTGCCCAACAGAAACCCACTATAGAAAACAAGGAAATTAATCCAATTATAACAGAAATAATGCTCACTAGTTTCTCTTTAGATGAACCCTCCTTAAACCAGCTTCGCTTCGGAGTAGTAGATGGAACTGCAGATGGGTGACAATTGTTTGAACCTGATCTGCACAAGCCATAGTTTCCAGCAAAGTTTGTAGAATCCATCCTTCCAAATGCGGTGGTGTTTGGCACGGTTCCCACTAGGTTATTGTTAGAAAGGTTGCACACCAGAAGGCTAAGCAACTCACCAATTGAGGCAGGAATTTCACCAACAAGCTGATTGTCATTCAAGTATAGAGATTCCAGCATCTGCAAGTTCCCCAAATTTTCAGGAATTGCACCTGAAAGATCATTGTGGCTAATGTTGAGGGCAATCTGTAGAGCAGTGAGTTGACCCAGCTCAAAAGGAATGCTACCTGAGAAATGATTACCCCCCATTTGCAAGTCAGTCAGTCTAGCCAGGCCCCCTAAAGTACCTGGTATTACTCCCATCAAATTGTTATCAGAAAGCTTCAAAAGTTCCAACTTCACTAGCTTTCCGAGTTCTTCTGGGAGATTGCCAGTGAAGTAGTTCCGACTAAGATCAAGTCTTTGTAGTTTCGTACAATTCCCCAGCTCCTGAGGAATTCTCCCGGAAAGCATGTTAGAGGAAATGTTGAAGGTCACGAGCTGCGATAGATTCCCAATTTCAGGAGGAAGATACCCAAAAAAGTAGTTATCAGACAAGAGTAGCCTTTCTAAATTTATAAGCCTGCAAACCTCCGGAGGTATTGGTCCTGAGAATCGGTTTTCAAAGAGTTCAAGAGCAGAAAGATTATATAACTCCATGGGGAGGCTTCCTGTAAGCATGTTGTCTCCTAGCATTAGCTGCATTAGAGACTTGCATGTCTTAATCCCATAAGGAATATTTCCAGACAATCTATTTGACCCTAGGCTTAGAAATACTAATGTCTGATACTTGCAAAGATGCGGAGGTATGCGACCAACAAGATTATTTTCAGACATGTCAAGAATAGTGAGGTTGCTGTTAACTCCTAGGCTAGGAGGAATTCCACCCTCAAGATGATTATCAAATAGTTGCAAATCAACCATGCAAGTAAGATTCTGAAATTCTAGTGGGATTGTGCCTGTCAAATGATTTATGGACAAGTCCAACATCTGCAGCAGCTTCAACTGCCCAAACTCCCTAGGAATATTTCCTTGTAGACGGTTCTCAAAAAGGTGAATCAACTGGAGATTAGGAATGTAGCCTAACCCCCGGGGTATGAATCCGCTTAACTGATTTTCGGAAAGGTCTATCTCAAGAGCACTGGTGCAATTCCTTAGTTCACTTGGAATACTTCCATTCAGCTGGTTGGTATAGATATACAATCGTTTTAGCTGCGATAACCTCCCAAGTTCTTTTGGGAGCATTCCGCTGAAAGAATTTATATGCAAGGCAAGCAATTGCAGCCTACTTATATTACCAATCTCAGGAGGAATCAAACCACTTAAATGGTTTTGCCATAGGATCAAATCAGTCAGATTTTGAAGTTTGTGAAGCTCCCTAGGAAGGGATCCTTCTAACTGATTCTGTGACAACCCAAGAACCTCTAAGCTCTGACACTCACCAATACCAGTTGGTATTGGCCCTGAAAGGGAGTTTCGACCAGCCCTTATGACCTTGAGCCTTTTCAACTTACTAATTGACATGGGAATGGTGCCAGTGAGATTATTACTGTAAATGAAAAGCTCTTCAAGTGAAGTTAAATTCCCTATCTCCTCAGGCATTTCACCATACACATAATTCTCACAGAGGTAAAGCTTTCTAAGGGTGGTCATTTTGCAGAAAGGGGTTAACAATTCTCCATGAAACCTATTTGTGCATAGGTCTAAAATCTCTAGATTATGACATTTAGCAAGATCCTTAGAAAAGGGACCAGAGAAGAAGTTCTTGGACACATTGAATTCAGTTAAGTAAGGTAGATTGCAAATGCTTGGAGACAAAGTGCCAGACAAATTAAGACCAGTGAGATTTATAG